CACATGCGCAATATGCGTAAAACTTCTGCTGTATTTGTATAAATTTCTACGTTATCAGCATAAAAGTTCTACCTGTAACGTATGGGACGTCAGTATACTACGATTGCAAGAGATCCATGCTTTTTTAGTATATGTTTCATGCAACTGAGGTATAAAAACATGCCTCTTTAGCAGGACGTTCATACAAAATTAGCATAGGAAGTCTCCATACTACAAACGCTTGATTTTTCTCTCCGTGCACTAATTCTTAAAACTGGTGAGACATTTTAGTATGTTAGGTTAGATTCAAGGGAAAAACGACATAGGTTATAGAAATTGCTATTGAGACTATCAAAAACACTCATTCAGTATATATTTTACAGTTCTTCATAAGGAAACTAACGAAAATTAGTATGTTGTTTTAGAAAGAAAATAATAATTTTTGCAAAGTTGGGAAAGCCATGAATTAAAAAGAAACACAACAAATTAATTGTCTATAGATACTCATAGAGACGATAGTGATACTTGGATCTGATGGTAGATGGCATTAGTGTATGTCACTGTAACTGTAGGTAAATATATTTAACACGACGTAAGAACCTAACCTAACCTATATTATTAACGCACACACGCACACGCAAGTAAAGACACGACGATTGGTCACGGAAATGGGAAACCGAAAGATCGCACGATTCGTTAGAAGTACACAGCTGAATCGTCCTTATATATTAAACGAGTGGAAAAATATGTGCCTTCGAGAGAGAGCATTTTTTAAAATAACTTACTAATCAAATTATGTAAATAAGTAAAAGTCGTGAAAAAAATTATGTTATATTGAGGAACAGTTCTTGAATTTAATTTGGCATGAGGAGACATTCACGTTTATTAATAAAAGGTTTTTTTCTTTCATACACGTGTGAATTTCAACTTCGAAAACATTAGGGTTAGTTCGCGACGTCAGGTGATGGACTCGGTGATGCTCGGGCGAAATCGGTTAAGTCCGCCCGCAGTCCTTCCAAAATTGGTATGTTACGTTAGAATGTCTGTTATATATTCTATCTATATGTGGAAAAAAGGTTAGAATTACCGTATTATTTCACAAACAAAAACTAGCATTTTATTCTTTTCTAAAGAAAAATAAGACTATTTCTAATGCAGATAGTAATTTTTGTACACCGAAGGTTGCTTAATATATAACGAATTTATCATATTTTCGTATTAATGTTGAAATTATTAGCACAACGCACGAAAAATCCTCACATTCTAACGTACTTTTAGAATAAACATAACCAAATATATTTAATATTATAAGAAAAAGTTTCTCCGTGCAGACGGACATACATACAGACAGACGGACAGACAGACAGACACACAGACAGACGGACTCGCCGGACCATGTTTTTCGGGTTCAGGGGACCTCAAAACGTAAAGATTTCATAAAATTAGCAAAAGTCAATTTTCGACCAAAACTAATACTTTCTCATGTGATGAGAATGTAAAAATTAGGATTTTTGAGTAACGTCAACTAAAAATTTTTCAGTAAAATGACTGCTATTTTTTTATATATTTTTTTAATTTTAGGGTAGTTGCACCAATAAAAGAACAAATTGATTATATATCGCGATATTTCACAAATTATAACTTCTAGCAGTATAATAAAATTTTTAATTACGTATTTCTTTAAAATACTAGCGCCTCGTCGACCGCTTCGCGGTCGACTTCGTTGCTTCCTTCTTTCCATTCAACATGTCCTTTTAATTTAAAAACATTTTTATTATTTAAATTGTTGGACAATTTAAATAATAAAGAATTATTAATAAATAATAATTAATAAAGAAGGACGTTACGAAGATCATCCTTTGATCTAGGGTAAGTCCGGGGGAGATGGCCATATGGGAGAGATGGCCAGTTCGAATATTTTACAGAATTTGTAAAGAAATATCACTTTGTATGGATTATTTTTCAACCTCTTGTGATTAATAATAAATCTAAACAATAATTTGATGAAAAATAATGAAGCTGTAAGTGTAATCCTTGTTTATTTTTTTTGCATGGGTCCAAAATAATTTTAAAATTTCAGATTTCTTGTTGCTATATTGTTATTTGTTAACATAATTTTTAAATTTAAGTTTTACTGAGTATGGTATAACCCACGCTTCGATATAAACGAAAAATGAAAGGAAAAATTATTTTATTTATTTAATATTTTGATGTTTACTTTTATCATGAATTTTTGGGTAAGATGGCCATTAATGACTTTTATTTAAAATTTTTTATGTTAATGTTAGATACTTGAGAAATATTAATGAAAAACAAATTAAAAATGTCTGAGAACAAAATAATTGATCCAATTGACACCAGAGATGGAGATTTATTTGTAGGTTGTGCTAAAAGTTACAACCGAACGACATTAATTGAAGATTGAATTCAATGCAGAATTGAACCTCCCAATTCTATAACTCGATCTGCGCGTGAACGCATGCGCTAATACCAGTCAAGTAGCAGTGAGCGCCTCTGAGCTACTCACTGCTACCCGACTGGTACTATTGCGTGCGTCCGCGCGCAGATCGAGTTATAGAATTGGGAGGTTCAATTTGACACTTGTGGCGACATGAAAACTGCTCTGAACCCCATGAAAAATTTTCAAAATGCGACCAGAAAAAGAGGAAAGTAATGTGAACGATTAAAAATTAAATTTAAGATAAAAGCCAAAAATTATAGGTAGTGGCCATCTCTCCCGAACACATGTGGCCATCTCACCCGGACATTCCGGAGAGATGGCCAAATGCACTTTTTCGAAAATGTAAATTTTAAGATTGTTGCTATGAAAATATTTTATTTTATGTTTCGTTATTTCAAAGTTAAGTGTTCAATGATTAATTATCAATAAAAGTTTAGACAAAAAACGCTTTTTTAAAAATTGTACGGTACTTTACAAAAACTATGGCCATCTCCCCCGGACTTACCCTATACTATTATTTTTATTATTTTATTTTTACTTTGGTTTTATTTTCTTCAAAATTACTCTAATTTTTATTTAATTTTAAAGTTAAATTAATTAAAATTAAATTTTTAAATTATAATTGCTTCTCGATTTATATTTAGAAGTGCGATTGTTGCTCTATCTCTTAAGTATATGTGAATTTTTAAAGTACTACAATTTCATTTATAAACATAAGTTTATAAATTCTATCTAAAAACAAAAAAAATAACAATACACAATTTGTATATTCGCGCTCTTTTTAAGTATACGATTACAGCTCCAGCTGTAACAAATGTCCAAACAATGTTGAAAACACCCTTCTATTAAGATTTTACATGCTCATTGCCTATTCCTTAATTCGATAGTTTTCGATATATTCGACCTTTCCTCGCAATGTCTTTTTTAAGAAAGGATAGTTTATTATAAAAAATAGATTTAAGATGCAAATTATTTATGAAAATAATTTTTTAATGTTTTGTTGCTTTACGAACACGACAAATGAACGAAGCGTAAACAGAAAAAAGGTTACAAGTATTAGATGCAATTAAATAAAATATTTCTGAGTGAATAATAATCAAAAAAATATAAATAATAGTAAGTTGCAAAATAGTTCTAGAATATTTGTAACAATTTTATATAATTTTTGTTATTTTTAGATAGTGTATTAATATAAATTTTATATGTTCTTTCACTGGAAAATACAGCTGTTCTTGTATTGGACATTATCCCATATTTGATTAAGATTTCTCATATAATATGTTCTATTTATAAAATTTGTATCATAGGCTTCAAGTTCTTTAGAAATTTTGCTATTCATTGCATATGTTTAAAACGAAATTCAAGAATCTCAATTAGAGAAGAAAAATAAATAAAGTGTACATTTCCTTAAATTCTCTTTCACTGGTGTCACTACCCTATACGCTTCTATATGGGTCAAAATTCGTGAAATTTTCACTAAAAATAAAAAATATTTTTTTTTAATCGAAATGTTGAAAAAACATTTCTATTTGGCCTAAGGAATAAATCTAACAAAGGATGGAAAAAAAATTTATTTTATAAAAGTTATTGCAAAATGAATTTTTTTGCAACATTTTAAACAAAATTTTATTTCTCCCAAATGAATGAGCCGATTTCAATGAACCAAAAGGGAATACAAAGGGGATAAAATATACTTTCGTTTAGAATTAAAAAATTTGTTAAAAGTTTATTTTTTAATAATTAATTAATAAATTGTTTATGAACAATTTATTTTTATTAATGTTCTGCGCCTTTTAAAAATTTGAAAAAAATCTCAACATGGAATTAAAATTCTAAGGAATCAAAATTCGTTGAGAAAATTGAGGAGCGATGATTATTTTAAAAGTTATAATGAAAATTAAATTGGCGCAGCATAGTGCACTAGCGCTACATTTAGTTTTTCATCACTTTTAGAGTTATATAATTGAATGCAACTGTTAATTCGATAGTGTTTTATTCATTTTGAAGTTTAAAATAGTGTTTTAATTCTGAAAAGCAGCAAAATCGCATCTCCACGCCATATAATTTTCATTAAAACTTTTGAAATAATTGTCGCTCCTCAATTTTCTCAACGAATTTTGATTCCTTAGAATTTTAAATCCATGTTGAGATTTTTTTCAAATTTTTAAAAGGCGTAGAACATTAAAAAAAAAAATTTTTATAAACAATTTATTAAATTATTAAAAAATAAACTTTTAACAAATTATTTATTTCTAATCGAAAGTATATTTTATACCCATTATATTCCCGCTTGGTTTATTTAAATCGATTCATTCATTTAGGAGAAATTAAATTTTGTTTAAAAAGTTGCAAAAAAAATTATTTTGTAATAACCTTCATAAAACCAAATTTTTTTTTCTATCCTTTGGTAGACTTATTCCAAAGGCCAAATAGAAATTTTTTTTTAACATTTTCATTAAACAAAAATATTTTTATTTTCAGTGAAAATTTCACGAATTTTGACCCATATGTAATTAATATTTAAAAACAAAACACCAAAAAATTTGACAATTCAACTTACTATTTCTCCTTCTTCGGTTGGCAGGTTTATTAAGGTCATTTATTTTTGACGTCAGTACTGTCCTAACTTGTTTTAATAACTGCATTAATTTTTTTTTTCCTTTTGCTCCTCTTTTTATTAATCTGTCTTTATAAACATCTACAACATTTAAATGAAAAACATATTTACAGAAAATAATTAATAAATAAATATATATTTCTAAAAAATAAAAATGTCCCTGGTTAAAAAACCGGACAGATTTCGGACTTATGCTACATTCATCATATTTTTCGATTTACCTATCGCAATTTTATTTACATTAACTTAAAATTTCTAACGCTTGGGGATTCGAACCTACACCTATCTAACATTATATAGCACCGAAATCGAATACACTAACCACTAGGGTGGTTCTTATTTTGGAAAAGTTGGAATTTCTTAGGTCGCCGGCCGGAATTTGAATTAAAATGTGAAAAAAATGAGATTCCCAAAAGAAAAGCCCATTTGATAAATTTTATCCCGTGCCGCAAAAGGGTTAAAGTTTAAATGGGGTTTAACATGGGTTTGGTGTACTTCTGCAAACTTTGTATTATAACTTTTACATTTTTTAAAAATTTGACTTGGGTCTATGTATTCCCATAGTTTTTCGTACGCTGAACACGAATATGATGTCAAAAATAACTTTTGACAGCTACCAGTTGTCAAAAAAGCTGTCAAATTTTGAAGATGAGAATTTTCTCGACTTTTACATTAATTTCTACGAATAAAAAGGTTTCTTGTGAATATTTCAGTTTATATTTAGCAATTTTATACCCTTTGACAGTTGCCAGCTGTCAAATGAGTTGTCAACTTTTATAGAAATCAGATTTCAAAGAGTTTTAAATCAATTATCACAAAAAACTTCGAAAATTGCTAAATGAATATTTTTTTCTAAAAATAATTTTTTAAAGACAAATAAACTTTAAAATATATGTAGTATAAAAATATTAATTATTACGTGCCACTTGGGTACAACTTATTATATGTATTTACATATTTGATTTTCATAATTTAATTAATTAATTAAAAAATTATATTTTGTATTAATTTGTCTAATACATATATGTTTTTAAGTTTAATTTTTTTAAAAATTATTTTGAGGAGGAAATAATTTTTTATAAATTTTAAAATTTATAAGAAGTAATTGGGAACGTCTTAAAAATCCTATTTAATAGAAGTTGACTACTAAATTGACAGCTGTCAACTGCCAAAATATATTAAATACCTATATATGAACTAAATTTACCTACAGAACCGTTTTTTTTGATAATTCATTTAAAACTCTTTGAAAACTGATTTTTATAAAAGTTGACGACTCATTTGACAGATGGCAACTGTCAAAGGGTATAAATTTGCTAAATATAAACTGAAATATTCACAAGAAACTTTTTTATTCGTAGAAATTAATGTAAAAGTCGTGAAAATTCTCATCTTCAAAATTTGACAGCTTTTTTGACAACTGGTAGCTGTCAAAAGTTATTTTTTACATCATATTCGTGTTCAGCGTACGAAAAACTATGGGAATACTTAGACCCAAGTCAAATTTTTAAAAAATGTAAAAGTTATAATACAAAGTTTGCAGAAGTGCACCAAACCCATGTTAAACCCCATTTAAACTTTAACCCTTTTGCGGCACGGGTTAAAATTTATCAAATGGGCTGTTCTTTTGGGTATCTCATTTTTTTCACATTTTAATTCAAATTCCGGCCGGCGACCTAAGAAATTCCAACTTTTCCAAAATAAGAACCACCCTACTAACCACTATACCACGCTCGCATGGAAGTTCAAATTCATAATAGAACTTATGAAGTGCAACGAAAAGAAATGACAAAAAACTATCACAACAGTGTTAATTTTAATATTGACAGACACAAGATAACTAATAATAGATACTAGTAAATTTGTAAAAACAAACAGACCGCAGAATTAAATATTTTATTTACCGTAAGTAAATACCCTGAATAAAAAGTGGGACCGATTTCAGACTAATCCAGAATTTGTCCGCAACAATGCGGTTTATTGTGGAGTTTTTTTTACCATGAATTAAGTTTGAAATCAATACCGTTGTTTATAATTATGGAATCCGTAATTAGTCCGGTTTAGTCTGCAGTTAGTTAGATCATATGCAACTAGTAAACGCAAAATAATCCGGAGTAGCTGTGAATCCGCAGCTAATCCGAAACAGTCTGCTTATGAACAGGTTTTTGTCGCTCGGTTTGGGTCAGGTTTTTCTCATACGAAATTATAATTATAGTTTGAATTTATCGGCATTTAATAAAAAATTTTTTTTAATATACCAATTCAATATTATAAAAAAATCATTCCAGATTAAATCATTGAATTGGATTGAATATGGATTGTTTTGAACTGTCTGTGGATTGTATATATTTACAAATTCTTTTAATAATATTTATTTTCGGACTGTGGTTTTTTGATCGGATATTATTCGGATTGAAGCCGAATCATACTTGTTTTGGATTAAATCTTTTCGTATTCTTAACATATTGATTTCGTATTATTTCGTATTTGTTTCGGATTATACCTTTTAGTTGGATTAAATGCGGATTGTTGCAGACAATTTTCGGATATTCTTAGCATACAGATTTAAGATTGTTTCGTACTTCTTTCGGAATAGGATTTTGTCACACTTATTTTTAAATTGTTGCGGACTAATACCAGACTTCTTGCTTACAGTGTTCGAATTGCTCCTGACATTTAATTTTGCAGATTAAGTTTTTTTTTAACTAGATTAAACTCTGATTGTTGCGAACTGATTCCGTATTCTTTACGTATATTGATATCGGATAATTCCGTACTTATTTTAGAAGAATTCTTCACCGGTCATAAATTCGGATTGTTGCGGACTAATCACAGACTGAATTCGTAGACATTCAGGATTACTCCGGAGTATTTTCGGATTCAGGTTTTCGTTCGGATTGATATCAGACTATCGCGGATCATTTTCGGACTTTTTTCGTACAATTTTCGGACTAATCCGAACCAATCTGTCCGTATTTAATCCGGAATTATGTACTCCTAAATTTTTACCAGGGGTAAGATTAACAGAATACAATATCAAAAAAAGCATTTCAAAAAATTAACTTGAAAATTTATTTTTTAATTTAAATTTTAGGATAAAATATCTTGTAACCATCATCCTAATGTTTTAAATCTTTTAAAACCTTCCCGCAAATATCAAATATTGAGAAATATTTAAACAAAATAGTTTCTAATATGGAAGTTGAAGAATTTACCATAAATTTATAATTTAATTATTTTTCTTTAGTATTTTTTAGTATATTTTAAAATTTTTAATTAAATTTATTATTATGCAATAATGTTTATTTTTTTTCTTGCATTGGCTGTTACTAAAATACAATTTCAATAAAAAAACATTTTTTGCAAATGATTTTTTATTTACGACCACTGTGTGTTTGGAGTTTTTGTTTCAGACATGTCATTATTTACAATTTGAACCTACAAAAATTTACAAGAATAGCCTTTTTAGCACGTCTAAAGTAGGTAAACCCCTTAAAAAAATTAAAAATCATTTTAAATATTTTCATTATTTCTTATGTTTCTCTAAAGAAAAATTGACTTGGACTTTTAATTTTTGTAAATTTAGTTAACTCTACAAGGGATTTGAAACATTTGTAAAAAATTTGGAATCATGGAAATGCAATTTATTAACAATATGTTCCCATTTTAAGTCAAAAACAAAAACTCAAAAATTGTTATGAAGCTGACATCCTAAAGAATAGGTTATACTTATATAACAGTAAAAAATTAAACAACTGGCAAAATGGTGGACACTTTTTTTAAAGAACTGTTTAAAGTTTTTGAAACTATTTTGTTTAATACACGGAGAAACTTTTTCTTATAATATTAAATATATTTGGTTATGTTTATTCTAAAAGTACGTTAGAATGTGAGGATTTTTCGTGCGTTGTGCTAATAATTTCAACATTAATACGAAAATATGATAAGTTCGTTATATATTAAGCAACCTTCGGTGTACAAAAATTACTATCTGCATTAGAAATAGTCTTATTTTTCTTTAGAAAAGAATAAAATGCTAGTTTTTGTTTGTGAAATAATACGGTAATTCTAACCTTTTTTCCACATATAGATAGAATATATAACAGACATTCTAACGTAGCATACCAATTTTGGAAGGACTGCGGGCGGACTTAACCGATTTCGCCCGAGCATCACCGAGTCCATCACCTGACGTCGCGAACTAACCCTAATGTTTTCGAAGTTGAAATTCACACGTGTATGAAAGAAAAAAACCTTTTATTAATAAACGTGAATGTCTCCTCATGCCAAATTAAATTCAAGAACTGTTCCTCAATATAACATAATTTTTTTCACGACTTTTACTTATTTACATAATTTGATTAGTAAGTTATTTTAAAAAATGCTCTCTCTCGAAGGCACATATTTTTCCACTCGTTTAATATATAAGGACGATTCAGCTGTGTACTTCTAACGAATCGTGCGATCTTTCGGTTTCCCGTTTCCGTGACCAATCGTCGTGTCTTTACTTGCGTGTGCGTGTGTGCGTTAATAATATAGGTTAGGTTCTTACGTCGTGTTAAATATATTTACCTACAGTTACAGTGACATACACTAATGCCATCTACCATCAGATCCAAGTATCACTATCGTCTCTATGAGTATCTATAGACAATTAATTTGTTGTGTTTCTTTTTAATTCATGGCTTTCCCAACTTTGCAAAAATTATTATTTTCTTTCTAAAACAACATACTAATTTTCGTTAGTTTCCTTATGAAGAACTGTAAAATATATACTGAATGAGTGTTTTTGATAGTCTCAATAGCAATTTCTATAACCTATGTCGTTTTTCCCTTGAATCTAACCTAACATACTAAAATGTCTCACCAGTTTTAAGAATTATTGGTATTAAAAGTTTCTCCGTGTAATTGTATTCTTTGTAATTCTTGTTAATATTGCGTATATGATAAATATTTATAGGATTTTTGGGTTTCTGTTTACGATTCTGTTGTCAGATTTGCAAAATTTATTAAAAATCAATTCGATTTGCCTTATTTTTATTACTCAGTGCTCGGAACGTCGGTGAGTTTAAGACTTTACAAAAACGAAAATATTCTTCGGATCAAAAAATCGGTTTACACACATATTCTACGTATACTAAGTTTTTTTTATAGCTATTTAGCTTTAAAAAAATACAATAAAAAAGAAATCGATTTTTTTACTCCCGCAATGGAAACTTCCCCTTATGGAATTAAAATTACCGTTCAATAGGTTTAATAATTCAGCACATTCCCAGACAGAAAAGTCGGGAATAAAATCAAGATAATCACAGGCCTCCAAATTTTGGCTTAGTTCTGTTACAGAAAAAGTGCTAGGTGATTCTTATAGCTATTTTGACGCAGAATACGAATCCGATTTCTAAAATTGCCCATCACGTCAGGATTTATTGTAATATTGGTTTAAATAGCCAAAAAATGGCTATTTTGGGAATTTTTCGGAATTTTTTTCGGTTAACTAAAATTTTTTTTTTAATTTGCGAAATTGCATCGTATAGTACTATGTCTAAGCTTTAAATCCCATATTTCAAAATTGCTTTTCGATTTTTTAAAAAAAAGTTATGAAGATTTGAAATTTTTTATATTTAACCCTTTAACGACGAGATGTGCTGCTTTGCAACATGAATTTTAATCGCTTACAATTAGTAGAAAGAAGCCATAAAAGTTTTCAAAAGTCCATACCCTACTATTTTTGGGGTCTGTCTTTCGAATGGCGTTGTCAAAATTTTCAAAAAATGATATAAAATCCTTTTTTTTCAAAAATACTAAAAAGAGTCAAGTTTTTTTAATGTAATTTTTTCTGAAAGAATTTTTTTCTCTGTCTTAAAGCTTTTCAAATGGAACAAAAAGTATTAGAAACGTGTTCCCAATAGTTGTACTTGAAAAATATCCATTTCTAATTTTTATTTTTTTCGATTTTGAATTTAACAAACAAATTTCCTAATTTTACGTAAGATGGCACACTTTTTCAAAATTGCTCAAATCTGATTGAAATTTGTTACTCGGGGGTTTTGGAGGTCGCTGATTACAAATCTGATGTTAGTTTCTCAAAATCCAATATGGCAGATCCAATATGGCGGACAATTTTTTTAAAAATTGATTGGGTTCGCTTGATATTCGTTACTCGGTGGTTTTCGAGGTCGCTGATTACGAATCTAATATTAGGTCTTTGAAAATTTTTAATGGCGGATCCAATATAGCTGATAATTTTTTTAAAAATTGATCGGATTCGCTTAAAATTTGTTAGTTTTAGGTTTTTTGGGACACTAATTGCGAATCCGATATTCTTTTTTTAAAATTGAAAATGCCGGATCCTATATGGTGGATGAAATTTAAAAATTGCTCGGTTTTGCTTGAATTTCGTTATTCGGGGGTTTTGTGGTTGCTGATTCCGAATCCAACTTCAGATTTGTAATCAGAGGCCCAAACAACCTAAATGTAAAAAATTGCTAGCGAATCCGATAATATTTTAAACAAATCATCCGCCATATTGGATCCGCCATTTTAAATTTTAAAAACCTAATATTAGATTCGTAATCTGCGACCCCGAAAACCCCCGAGTAACGAATATCAAGCGAACTTTTTGTTCCACTTGAAAAGTTTTATGACAGAAAAAAATTCTTACAGAAAAAATTACATTAAAAAAACTTGACTCTTTTTAGTATTTTTGAAAAAAAAGGATTTTATATCATTTTTTGAAAATTTTGACAACGCCATTCGAAAGAGCGACCCCAAAAATAGTAGGGTATGGACTTTTGAAAACTTTTATGGCTTCTTTCTACTAATTGTAAGCGATTAAAATTCATGTTGCAAAGCAGCACATCTCGTCGTTAAAGGGTTAAATAAAAAAAATTTCAAATCTTCATAACTTTTTTTTAAAAAATCGTGGCTGGACCACTTTAATAAAAATAAATTTTTTATTGCGATTAATTAGTGCTCAATTAGTGCTATTTTTGTACCATATTGCCGAATTTAGTGCTCAATGTTTATTTAAAAAAAACACTGTTTTTGCTGAGTGAACGTTCCGCTGGCCGGACCATTACGAAAAACGCTTTAAAAACGACAACAAAATTTTTATCAATAGCCTATTATTTAGTGCTCAAAGATTAACACAATAAAAAAATTGTTTATTAATTATTTATTTAAAAAATCACTTGTTGTAATGAGTAAGCGATCCGCTGGCTATTAATTATTGATCAAAGATTAAAACAATAAATTTTTTTCATTATTTATTTATTCAAAAAATCGCGCTAAAAATATCATTAAAATGTTCAATTTTTTGTTGTTGCTTTTCTTGAATTGATACATTTTTTTTACTTTTGTGAGATAATTTTTAACCCCTTGACAGTCCATGGTCCATATGTGGCCACAAAAAGTCGTGCCATCTTTGCGTTTGTGGCCATATATGGCCATCTCAAAAATAAAATACTAAACATAATTCGATTTGAATAGCGAAGTGTATACTAATGTTTTTGGGGTCGCTGAATCCGAATTTAAAGTCAGATTTTCAAAATTAAATATGGCTTACCTAAAAAAATTTTTCATTGGCGAAACTACAATATTTAAAAATTTTATGTTTTTCAGGGTGTCTATTTTTTGAGAATAATGTTTTTTTAATGATTTTAATTGAAAATTTGGAAAATAATTTATATTTTCCACATTATATTTTAAAAATAAAATTATAATTATAGTCACTAACTTCCTTTGATTATTTTCGAAAAATTTAAATAAAATTGTTTTTATTGTGTTAATCTTTGAGCACTAATTGAGCACTAAATAATAGGTTATTGATAAAAATTTTGTTGTCGTTTTTAAAGCGTTTTTCATAATGGTCCGGCTGGCGGAACGTTCACTCAGCAAAAACAGTGTTTTTTTAAATAAACATTGAGCACTAAATTCGGCAATATGGTACAAAAATAGCACTAATTCAGCACTAATTAATCGTACAAAAAAATTCATTTTTATGAAATTGGTTCAGCCACCTTCACAGACCTAATACAGAATCATAAAACACTACATTTATACCAAGTTACACAAAAATTGAAGGACCCATGACCAACTTTGATTTTTTTTTAGAAAATTTGACCCTTATGCAATGAGAAAAATATTTTTTAAATATTAGGGGAGAGGGCCCCAAAATGGACATTTCCTATAAAATTTTTGTTTAAAGTGACAGCATCTTCTCAATTTTTTTATTTTTGTCGTTTGTATAGGCGAAGATTTTTATGCATATTTGAAAAATAAAACCAGTTTTTTTTCTACTACGCATATCACCTGAATTTTTTGTCAAAAAAAGTTTTATTTCCGATTTTTATCAAGTCGATAAAGTTATTTAAATTTTTGATTTTAGATAGGTATTGATCGTTATAATATTATTTATTTATCATATAGTAATATTCTAAAATGATTTTATTAATATTTTGTTTGTATACAATTTTTTTCTGGGTTTCAAAAAATTGTGTCATTTACCCTAAGATGGACACTTTCGAGACCCTAAAATGGACACCACATTTCAATGTATTTATTTTCATGCTTTCGATTACACATTTTTTTAATAATTTTGTAAGCCTCGTAATTGAGATTTTTTATTTTTACCACCATGGAATGTAGAGCTATCGATAGAGAATTCGATATTTATCGATTTCTCGAAAAGCGACAGCGGCGCTTCAGTCGTTTTTACTTTTTACAAATTGACAGTAAATAGAATAAAATGATTAAACATTAGTTTAAAAATTAATACAGGATGTTTATCTTTAATTTACCACACTTTAAAGTGATTTTTAAGAAGGTGTCCATCTTGGGGCCATTTTTTTTTTGTCAAAATATTTAACAATTAGAAAAAATGCTATAGAAAATGTTTAAGTTCAAAATAAAATTTTATCTCAATGGCCATAAGTTACCTAATAAATTGTACTTTAATTTAGTATAAAACATTTTAACATATCTTATTCGGTTTTGATTTTAGAGCCATCAATCGAAGAGGTGTCCATCTTGGGGCCCTCTCCTCTAATAATGAGAATTATTAATTGCAAATTAAACAATTTACAAATTACCTTCCATTGCTCTAATTGTTTTATTCGGGATTTTAATTCGAACTTGGCCTTCCTCTCGCGCGGTAGCTTTTTCATCGTTTAAACACATGTTTTTCAAATCTTCACCATAGTAACTTTTTGCTAGGTTTATAATAAATTGGCCATCAGTTTTGGATGATTTTACTACTTCCCAATCTTCAGTTGGAAGCATGATACCTCCACCAAGATAAATCTGAAATTTAAATAGAGAAAAAAATATTCTTGTTTTAAGAGGATTTCTCTTATTTCAATGCATATTTTCCTCTAGAATAGGGCTCAAAAAGAATCCTCTTATTTTAAGAGGATTATTCTCCACATAACAATATTCCTCTGAAAATAAGAGGAAAATACTCTTCGATTAAGAGTAGATAGCTTATATTCATTAGAAAAAATGACGCTAATGCACATAAAATATCTTATAATGGAGAGGAGGGGGGTCAAAAAAACTTTAAAATATGCATAATATTTTAATATTTTTAGGAAAAAAGTTATAAAGTAAAAGGATACAAGAAATGACTACCAGAATGATGAAAAATTGAAATATTCCTATTCCTCACGAAATATTATATTTAGATTCTAAATTAATTATTTTAACTATTATTATCTAAAAAAATTATTGAGTCAGAATCAGTGAAATTTTACAAAAAATAAGGAGTATTTTTATAATCGAAATGAAAAAAAGCATTTTTATTTGGCCATTGTCTCTAACAAACAAACGACAGAAAAAATTTTGTTTAAAAAAAGTTATTGTAAAATGAATTTTTTTGCAACTTTTTATAAAAAATCCAGGGACCGTCACGGAAATGAAATTTTGATTTCGTTACGATATTCCAAAACAAAACGAAATTATTAATGTATTTTGATTTTGATTCGGTAACGAAACAAAATTTACTTCCTATTTTGATTCTGATACTGTAACGAAACAAAATTTACTTTCTATTTTGATTCCGATACTGTAACGAAACAAAATTCACTTCCTATTTTGATTCCGATACTGTAACGAAACAAAATTCACTTCCTATTTTGATTCCGATACTGTAACGAAACAAAATTCACTTCCTATTTTGATTCTGATAATGTAACGAAACAAAATTCACTTCCTATATTGATTCTGATACGTTAACGAAACAAAATTTACTTCCTATTTTGATTCTGATATTATAATACTGCAATTCGGTTTTCTTATAGAAACAGAAGTCGATTCGAATTGTATTTCAGATTTCGTATGTAAAAACGATATTATCTTCTGATATATTTGACATTTGCAACAAAATTTAGGTTCAATGAGACTTATACATGCGCAGTAGTATTTTATAAAATTAAGACAAAAAAGAATTTTGATTTTGATATTGGAATCTAAACTAAATAGAATGGAATTTTGATATTGGAACCAAGACGAAATAGAATGGAATTTTGATTTTGATATTGAAACCAAAACGAAATAGAGTTGAATTTTGATTTTGATATTGGAATCAGAACTAAATAGAGTGGAATTTTGATTCTGATACCCATATCCGAATCAAAACAAAAGTATTTTTTAATTTTGTTTTGATTCCGTGACGGTCCCTGATTAAAAATCTTATTTTTCCTAAAACAATGAACCAAGAGTGCATACAAAAGGGGTGAAACAATTAACTTTCATTTGGAACTACAACATTTTTAAAAATAGTATTTTTTAATAATTATTTAATATTAACAGTTTTATTTCCTCATAGGGTGTCGATTTTCTTAGATAATCAATTATTTTTACAAATTTTCAAGTATAGCGTATATAAATATTTCAACATGGGGAACAAATTCTCCGGATGTTTGTGTGTGGATGCATATCGAAATGTTTTTTTTCCACATACCGACAATGCAGATCAAAAATGGTTAAAAATCTGCAACGACCTTTTCTTGAAAACAACAAAACAAAATAATTTTTCCATTTAGCAAACTTAATTTTAATAAAAAATACACATAATAAGATTCATTACATATGAAAACAACAATAAAAAACTTTAATTTATGTAAACTGTTTTGTATAGCAATTTACAACAAGAAGAACACATGTGACAGCTTTTAGTAGTTCATAGAACCAAGAGATGGCGCCAAAGGTTCCAAAACTGACAAATTTTGATTATTTTTAGCTTTAAATTAACATCAATAAAATATAATGTTTTCTTTTTCAGTAAAAATTCATTAGTGATGAAAGACACACAATGTGAGAGATTTATTTTGTTCAAATTGTTAAAGAAAAGTTAATGCTAGTAAATTAAATATCAAGTGCCACCGAACAGCTGTCACATATACACTTTACAAAAAATAAAGTTTTTATTTATTCCTGAATGGCAAATGAGTCTCATCCTCCGTATTTTCCTACAAAATTAAATTTCCCAAATGGAAAAATTATTTTGTTTCGTTGTTTTCGAGAAATGGTCGTTGCAGTTTGAGCGTAGTCAAAGATGTGTTACAGGGAAACTGCCCATATTTAACTTTCTAACGATAATTTTTTTCAAATAATTACAACAAATAAAATACTCATACAGTGTATTCATGATAAAAAATGAGTTTTCCAAATTTATAGGTAATAATATCTTATATTTTCCAAGAAACCCCAGTAGCACGTAATATTACAGCGATATTGGGAACATTGCCTTAACATTACCAATATTGTCTCAATGTTGTGGCATATTGCTGGAATGTTCCCAATATTACGTGCTACTTGGGAACGGTCGTTGCAGATTTTTAATCATTTTAGATCTGCAATGTCGATAAGTGGGATCCCCTTAAATGTCATTTCAGAAGCAACGAATTTCGTTTAATTTACAATTCGTTTCAAATGAAATTAGTGAAACTTGCAATTCTTTAGTTGTGAATTAGACTTAATAGTCGTTTTCAATCTGGGAAAAAGACCTGCATCCCGAAATAAGTATCGGTAAGTTCTCAAATGCGCCACTGGACAAATGCGCCACCGGTCAAAAGGCCAACGCAGAATAGATCTGTAACCGGAACCGCAATCGTAACCGTAAGCGTAAGAATGAGTTAGAGAAGGATAAACAATATACCTATCCTTCTTTAACTCATTCTTACGGTTACGCTTACGATTGCGGTTCCGGTTAAAGATTCTATTCTGCGTTGGCCTAAATGCGCCACGGATCAATTGCGCCACTGGACAAAAGCCCCACATTTGCCATATTTGAGGAAAGTGATAAGTTTGTTCGAGAGATGGAGCTAGGTGTTCTTTGTGTAGAAATTTGTCAAGTGAATTCAATTTATTGTCAATTTCGCTCCGTATAGTGAAAATAAATTTAAGTGAATGGTTAATTAAATGGAAATTAATTAATTGTTCTATATCAATTGCGGATAACATTTTTTAAGTAAGTTGCTGTTTTTATTTTATATTAATAATAATAATAATAATAAATATTATTATTATTGTTTAGAGAAATGTGGAAATTTTTTTTAATAACTAATTTATGAAACATTTTATTTTTAAATCGTTTTTATTTATATTTTTTCTTTGGAATAATTTAATAATTGCTTTAATTTAATAATAAGATTTCTTGATATTTTCAAAAGATCTTTATTTTTATAGAATTATGTATTTTAATTAAATAACGAGATTAAGAATTCTTTGTTGTATTATAGTTAATTTTACTTACCTAATTATAAATTAATTGCCTTTATTTTAAATTTAGAAAGTACTTAAGTTTTCTTGAAGACTAATAAAATATAATTTATTAACAATTGTAATATTGAATATAATTTTCTAATATGAATTTCATATTTAATTAATTTTTTAAATTATATAACGTAAAAGTTTTTCTGAATTCACGTTCATACTTTTAGAAATGATAAGACTTCTTACAAAGTTTCAAATATTACGGAAGTTTAGAAAAATTATTCCAATTTTTATTTTATAATTAATGGTATTTTTTTTATATTAAAAACAGTAATATTTTAAAAAGTAATATTTTTTTGGAAACGTTTAATATATAAAAAAAGCAGGCTTCGCACTGACGTACTAAAATCTATACTATTTACTCCTTTTTTTGTCAAATTTCTGACACTAAAAGCTACTTTTTTACAAATTACATTAGTTTCAATCCTCTAATGATTGAAAAAAAAATTATTCTCAATCAATTTTTTGTGATTCGAAAATGAAAATTTATAATTGTTATTGAAAATTCTTTTAAACAATTGTAAATTGAAGAATGTTCGCAATATTTTTAAAAGATTAAATTACCATGTATTGATGCGCAAAACTCCAAGGATTAATTTAAAAAAAGACAAATCAGTAATCACCAATATTATAGAAATTGTGTAGAATTTTCTGCCAAAATGCAGCCGAAAATCGACTTTTAATCTTAAAAATCCGCTTGAAAGCGTGAAGTTTCTAACAAAACAAGAGAAGATCTTATTTATATATTCATTTGCAATTTTATTTTTCCTGGAACTCGAGTCGATTTTCGTCTGCATTTTGGCATTAAAATAATTTTTTTGCCAATAAATTTATATTCTTAATTTTATTACAATTTTTATACTCAGTTTTTAATTTTTCTATAGTTATTAATATAATCTTTCTACAATTTTTCTATAATTTTTCTATAGAATAATGCAATTTGTAATTGTTTTTGTTTATTATTTTTGAGAGATAGGATAGATATTAATTTCGCAGTAATAGAGGGGTAAATAATATTCAATACCATTGTCAAATAACACAGGCACACAAAAAAATAAAAAAGTCAAAACCCAGAGGTTACACCCCCCTATCCCCATGTTTTTGGGGTCGCTGAAACCGAATATGACCATGAAAAATTTTTTACGTCGGCCATTTTCCCGCTACCACCCCCTTACACCTGCTCCCTGGGGTTGGAATTTCAGTTTTAAAAAAGTGGACAAGGGTGTCAATTCCTATGTTTTTTAGGTCGCTGAAACCAAAAAAGACTACCAAAATCAAATCCTTTACACCCTCAACCCCCTACTACCCCCTGCAATAATTTTTTTTAAATAAAACGGACCGATTTTTGGGAAATTGAAAATTAAATATTAATTATCAAAAATTATTGAAGGGGGTTGTAGGGGGTTGAGGGTGGAAAGGATTTGATTTTGGTAGTCTTTTTTGGTTTCAGCGAATCAAAAAACGTAGGTTTAGACACCGCAATCGACTTTTCGCGAAAATTCGAATTTCGACCCCTCACCCTGGGGTTGTTAAGGGGGTTGTAGGGGGTTAAGGGAGGGAAGAATTTGTTTTTGGTAGTCTTTTTTGGTGTTAGCGACCCAAAAAACATAGGAATAGACACCCTACTCCACTTTTTTAAAATTGAAATTCCAACCCCAGGGAGCAGGTGTAAGGGGGTGGTAGCGGGAAAATGGCCGACGTAAAAAATTTTTCATGGTCATATTCGGTTTCAGCGATCCCAAAAACATGGGGATAGGGGGGTGTAACCTCTGGGTTTTGACTTTTTTATTTTTTTGTGTGCCTGTGTTATTTGACAATGGTATTGAATATTATTTACCCCTCTATTACTGCGAAATTAATATCTATCCTATCTCTCAAAAATAATAAACAAAAACAATTACAAATTGCATTATTCTATAGAAAAATTATAGAAAAATTGTAGAAAGATTATATTAATAACTATAGAAAAATTAAAAACTGAGTATAAAAATTGTAATAAAATTAAGAATATAAATTTATTGGCAAAAAAATTATTTTAATGCCAAAATGCAGACGAAAATCGACTCGAGTTCCAGGAAAAATAAAATTGCAAATGAATATATAAATAAGATCTTCTCTTGTTTTGTTAGAAACTTCACGCTTTCAAGCGGATTTTTAAGATTAAAAGTCGATTTTCGGCTGCATTTTGGCAGAAAATTCTACACAATTTCTATAATATTGGTGATTACTGATTTGTCTTTTTTTAAATTAATCCTTGGAGTTTTGCGCATCAATACATGGTAATTTAATCTTTTAAAAATATTGCGAACATTCTTCAATTTACAATTGTTTAAAAGAATTTTCAATAACAATTATAAATTTTCATTTTCGAATCACAAAAAATTGATTGAGAATAATTTTTTTTTCAATCATTAGAGGATTGAAACTAATGTAATTTGTAAAAAAGTAGCTTTTAGTGTCAGAAATTTGACAAAAAAAGGAGTAAATAGTATAGATTTTAGTACGTCAGTGCGAAGCCTGCTTTTTTTATATATTAAACGTTTCCAAAAAAATATTACTTTTTAAAATATTACTGTTTTTAATATAAAAAAAATACCATTAATTATAAAATAAAAATTGGAATAATTTTTCTAAACTTCCGTAATATTTGAAACTTTGTAAGAAGTCTTATCATTTCTAAAAGTATCCCAGTAAACGAAAACTAATTGAAATGAATTAAAAAGAATTCACAAAGAGCTTTCGTGAATCCCGCTTTGTGACAAATACGAATTGGAGCCATGATGCAATTTTCCTGAATTCGTGAAACTGTATTGAACTTCCGAACCTTCTATCCGTACCAATTCACTGGACAAGTTTTGAGCCTTTAATTTTTTTCAATTCGTTAGCACGAATTCAATGCATTCCTTGGCCATTTCTTTCGAATGCGAATTCGTTTGGACAAATTGGTACATATTGAATTAAATTCAATTGAATATACAAAGAGCTTGAGTGAATCCCGCTTTGTGACAAATACGAATTGGAGCCTACCAAAAATGTTAATTCGTTTCAATTCATTTGAATTAGTTTTTTTTTACTGGGATGAACGTGAATTCAGAAAAACTTTTACGTTATATAATTTAAAAAATTAATTAAATATGAAATTCATATTAGAAAATTATATTCAATATTACAATTGTTAATAAATTATATTTTATTAGTCTTCAAGAAAACTTAAGTACTTTCTAAATTTAAAATAAAGGCAATTAATTTATAATTAGGTAAGTAAAATTAACTATAATACAACAAAGAATTCTTAATCTCGTTATTTAATTAAAATACATAATTCTATAAAAATAAAGATCTTTTGAAAATATCAAGAAATCTTATTATTAAATTAAAGCAATTATTAAATTATTCCAAAGAAAAAATATAAATAAAAACGATTTAAAAATAAAATGTTTCATAAATTAGTTATTAAAAAAAATTTCCACATTTCTTTAAACAATAATAATAATATTTATTATTATTATTATTATTATTAATATAAAATAAAAACAGCAACTTACTTAAAAAATGTTATCCGCAATTGATATAGAACAATTAATTAATTTCCATTTAATTAACCATTCACTTAAATTTATTTTCACTATACGGAGCGAAATTGACAATAAATTGAATTCACTTGACAAATTTCTACACAAAGAACACCTAGCTCCATCTCTCGAACAAACTTATCACTTTCCTCAAATATGGCAAATGTGGGGCTTTTGTCCAGTGGCGCAATTGATCCGTGGCGCATTTGTCCAGTGGCGCATTTGAGAACTTACCATCGACTATGATGGAGAGTCCACAATATGTGCAAATATGTAGGTAGCAAGTCCAAGTGCAAGTGCGATTCCTATACATTTAGCATTGGTTCGCACTTGCACTTCTTGCCTTTTGCACCTATTGTGGACTCTCCATGAATACCGCCCATACACTGAGGCCGAAGTCCCATGGCAGCGTTTTGCGTTGCGTTGTAATGAGAGAGAATGCAGCAAACGTATATTTGCGTCTTTTTCTCTCCCATTACGACGCAACGCAAAACGCTGTCATGGGACTCCACCCTTAAGGCCTTTCTCCAATAGGTTACCACAAGTGTGCGAATGACTGCGTTGCGTTGATTTTAGCATGTGTTGCTTTAAGGCCTTTCTCCAATAGGTTTTAAAAAGTGTGCGAATGACTGCGTCTGCGTCAGTTGCTATAGCAACACATGCTAAAATCAACGCAACGCAGTCATTCGCACACTTTTTAAAACCTATTGGAGAAAGGCCTATAGCAACCGACGCAGACGCAGTCATTCGCACACTTTTTAAAACCTATTGGAGAAAGGCCTTTATAATTTTCATACGTAATATGCGTAAGAACTTCATGTATATTACGTGCTCAACCCTGGGAGAAATGATTACCTTAGGTAGTTTACGTTCCCAACCCTGCTTTCAAGACGATTCGATGCGGGTACACATTTTTGTTTACTGCGCATCGAAATCGAGACGATTTATTTTATTGTGGACTCAACCTAAAGTTGTTCTGAAATCAAATTAGTTCACCTTTCTAGAAAAGTTTATAGTCTAGGTTAAATTAAACAGTGGAGGGAGAAGGTGCGTTCATGCGTTTTTTTGAGGTGAATCGCAAACCAAAAGGGCGAAGTAAACTTGCAAAGCACAACATTCAAAATAGAAGGATTGTCCGTGTAAATTTCAAGTCGATTTACCATTTTCGAGAGTCGGACGGTTTTCTCGGTTCTTGGAAAAAGTGCAACTGTGAAAAGCTCTTGAATATAATTCGTTGTAAGGAAACACGCAGCTCTTCAAGGGCGCGTTGTCGACTATTGTTACGACAAAAAGTTGAGAAAATGGCCGACAATTGGGCACAAAATTCGCAGAGTACAGTTTGCCGGTAAGACTTTCATTGGCAGAATCAATTGCTTCAAACTTATTTCATTCTAAAATATATAAAACCTTCCTCAATAATTATCAAATGATTGTCTTCCTCAGTCAAGTTTACTCAATTGACGAATGTTGCGAACGATGTGTGGAAGATAAGTTCGGCCAAATGTCAACAATCAACGATGTAAACATTGCATTTTTTTGTCCCTTGCTAATTGATATTTTCATCGTCATATTTACTTTAGCACACTCTGGATCATATTTCTTATCAATTTCAAAAGAGGGAATGTATTTAGAATACAATTTTTTGCGCCAAGTGGAAATTGAATCATTTCGAAAGCACTCGAGCTGAGATTGTGATTCTGAAATTGATCGTGGTCAGAAGATTGCATCATGCAACTAAAGAGAATTGCTTGCGACTAAAGAGAATTCATTGTGTACTTTCAGGTACTTCAAAAATGGAGTCTGTCGTGAGGGAAACCACTGCAGATACCGACATGTGCAGGGAAGTCAAAACAGTTTAAACAGCAGCAGCAGCAACTCAGAAGTAGTTTACCTCCCATCGACAACTGCTTGTCACTATTTTAAATATGGAACCTGCAAATACGGCACTCGATGTCGGTTTAGTCACAATTCCAACCATTCCAGTAACACAGAGACTGCAGAACCTCGAACTTCTAACAACTCTTCGACTTCTGACTCCGAAAGAATGTACGTTATGCAGAATTTGCACTTTTAGCAATGCTTTCATTTTTCGGAGTGACTAACTGCCAGAATTCACAGGGTTGCCACGGGTCAGGAAAGTCAGGGAAGAGTCAGGGATTTTTATTAAAAGTACTGGAAAATATTAAATTTTTAGAATTCATAAGAAAATTCTCAATTTTTTATGTCTTTTTTTTGTCATTTTTTCTATTTCTGACAATAATTTCAACTTAATTCTTGAAGAACTATCATAAAATTATAACTTATAAACTATTTAATAAATAATTTTCTTTAAAAATTTCAAAATTAATTGTATTTCAAAATAGTATCGATTTTTAATGTATTTTAAATTTTAAATAGAAATTTTAAGAACAACTGATTACAGAAATTCAATTAAATTTAATTATGTTCAAAAATTTTTTTAAATTCTACTCAAAATTTTAATTATCTTTATAAATAATAAAATTTTTCTCAGAAATTAAATTATTTTGAAAAATTTTAATAAAATTCTTGGCAAAATTTCAATTATTTGCAAAAATTTTCCTCATTTCAATTATTTTTAATAGCTACTATTTTAATAAAATTTTCCAAAAGAATTCAATTATTTTTACAAAATTTTATTAACACATGAATTCAATTACCAATTTTTTATAAATTTCGTCACACCACTTCAATTATATCGAAAAATTTAAATAACATTCTTTTAAAAATTCTATTATTTACAAAAATTTTGACAAAATTCTTGACAAGATTTAGTTAATAAAATTTTTTTATACAATTCAATTATTTTCAATACAATTCTTCTTAAGAATTCAATTATTTTCGTAAATAATAAAATTTTTCTTGAGAATTTAATTATTTTTAAAAATTTTGTTAAAATGCTTTATAAATTTGAAAAATTATAATAAAATTTATTATAATTTATAATAAAATCATAGAATACTATTATTTTTGTAAAATACAAAACATTCTTCCTAGGAATACAATTATTGTCAAAAATGTTTATAAAAATCTTTGAAACAATTCAATTATTTTCGTAAAAAATATTATTCGAAGCAATTCAATTATTTAAGAAATTTTAATAAAATTCTTTCCAAGAATTAAATTCATTTCAAAAATAAAATTTTTCACAGGAATTCAATTATTTAAAAAAAAATTTAATAAAATTCTTCGTTAGATTTCAATTATTTTCAATTTTTTAATGAAATTTCTCTATGAAATTTAATTATATTCAAAAAATTCTGAGAAATTTAATTATTTAAGAAAATTTGAATAAAATTCTTTACAAGAAATGACTTATTTTCCTAAATAATAATATTTTTCTCCGGAATTCAATTGTTTAAAAAAATTTTTAATAAAATTCTAAGCAAGAATTCAATTATTTTCATAAATAAAAAAACTTATCGCAGAATTTCAATTATTTTTTATACAATTTTAAATAAAATGATAGAAAATTACATTTATTCTTAAAATTTTTTTTTAAATTCGCCAAAAGAATTCAATTATTTTTAAAAATTTTGATACAATTCTTCACAAAACTTAAGTTTTAAGAAATATTCAATTATTTAATAAATTATTTATTTTTGGAGTCATTCCATTATATTTCGACTAAAGTCGTTGCTGACTAATTTTAAAAAATTATAATATTTTGCAGGAATGATGTTAAAGATATTAGGATCACCGAACAAAAAGAATTTTTTAAATATTTTTTATATTTATTGTAAAATAAGCATCTAAAGTATATGAAGTCGTAAAAACTGTCACATTTTCATCTATTAGAAAATATTAAAGAAAACACATAATTTACTATAAAAATGTAAAAAAGTTATAAGAATTTATTAAGAAAGAATTGTTTTATTATTATAAATTGATAGAAACAATTATTAATAAGAAATATTAAATAAAAAAGGATTTTTAAGTTCACCTGCCAAATAACCTAATTTTGCAAATTTCATTCACTAAATGTGAGAAAGAGAAATCATTAAATTAAATAAAACCTTATGAAATATAAAGTACCTGTGATTAACTTTTAGTTTTTCTTATCACTTTCTTCCTTTTTTCTTCATAAATGTTAAAAAATAAGCAATTAAAACTGGCACTTTGCTTATTTTCACGATTTTAAAATGCAAATAACTTCAGCCCAGAAAAATGAAAAATTACGAAAATTGGGCAATAATTATTTGATCACTAGATACACTCACTGGAAAAAGATTTTCTTTGGTCCCGAAGCTATTTTCCGAATTCATTAACTTTAAACTTTTTACTATTTTTATCAGGTTAATACATGTGTTTTTTAAAGGACGAAGTTAGCTCTTCTTGTTTAATCGTTTTGAACCAACTTCAGTTTTAAAAAAATCACATGTATTAACCTGATAGAAATAGTGAAAAGTTTAAAATTAATTATTTCGGAAAATAGCTTCGGGACCAAAGAAAATCTTTTTCCAGTGAGTGTATTTAGTGATCAAATAATTATTGTCCAATTTTCGTAATTTTTCATTTTTCTGGGCAGAAGTTATTTGCATTTTAAAATCGTGAAAATAAGCAAAGTGCCAGTTTTAATTGCTTATTTTTTAACATTTATGAAGAAAAAAGGAAGAAAGTGATAAGAAAAACTAAAAGTTAATCACAGGTTCTTTATATTTCATAAGGTTTTATTCAATTTAATGATTTCTCTTTCTCACATTTAGTGAATGAAATTTGCAAAATTAGGTTATTTGGCAGGTGAACTTTAAAATCCTTTTTTATTTAATATTTCTTATTAATAATTGTTTCTATCAATTTATAATAATAAAACAATTCATTCTTAATAAATTCTTATAACTTTTTTACATTTTTATAGTAAATTATGTGTTTTCTTTAATATTTTCTAATAGATGAAAATGTGACAGTTTTTACGACTTCATATACTTTAGATGCTTATTTTACAATAAATATAAAAAATATTTAAAAAATTCTTTTTGTTCGGTGATCCTAATATCTTTAACATCATTCCTGCAAAATATTATAATTTTTTAAAATTAGTCAGCAACGACTTTAGTCGAAATATAATGGAATGACTCTTTGTATTTCAATAATTGAATTGTCAAAAAATTTTCTATAATAAAAATTGATTAAAACATGAATTTTACTTAAAATTTTAAATTGTAATTTAATATTAAAAGTAATACAGCGGGAATTTTTAGAAATAATTGTATTTTGAAAAGGGTTCAAATTAAAATCTTTGAAAATTTGAATTTATATTTACAATATTCTTATGGTATAAAATAAAAATTTTATAACTCTGCCATCTTAAATTTATTATAAGTTATTGAATTCAGGGTTGCCACAAATATTTAATTTTATTTTTCCCTGACTTTTCCCCGATTTCCAGACAAAATTTTCACTTTTTCCCTGACCATAAAGAATATTCTGATTCACTCTAAAAATTATTAGATACTCAAAAAAAACATTCTATTACATTTCCTTATTACGAATTTCTTTAATAATTGTACAATTATTCGCAAACATCAATAACTAAATTTTTAAATAAGTATTAATTTATTATTTTTCCATAGGAATTAAAATCCTTCAAAACATTCAAATTCAAACATTTTTAAAATTCAACAACTTATAAGAATATTATTATAAAACATGAAGATATCAATTACTCCGAGTCGAAAGACTCGGAGTGAATAATATCTTCATGTTTTATAAAAATTTTAATTTCCATAAAATTTTTCAAAAAAAAAATTAAATTATTTACAAAAATAATAATAAAATTCTTCACATGGTTTCAATTATTTTTAATACAATTTTAGATAAATTTCTCGAAAAATAAAATTATCTTCAAAATTTTTTTTGCAAGAATTAAATTAGGTACATTTTACAAATAATGAAATTCTTCGCTGAAATTCAAAAATTTCCAAAATTTACATTTTTAATACAAGTTTTCAAAAGAATATAATTATTTAAATAAAATGTAATAATCAGGGTGGCCGCTGGACCGGAAAACCGGGAAATGACAGTGAATTTTTTTGGACAGGGAAAAACCGGGAAATGACAGTGAATTTTGATCTTGACCGGGATTTTGGAATTTTTTTTTTAAAAACACACATTACTTTGTGAGAAAAAATAGAAATATTTATTTTAAGACTTAGGTATTAATTATATTTCATTAAAAAAGATTGAATGATCTTCTATAAAATCTATTTATATTTTGTCAAAGAATTTTATAAAAAGTACTATAAAAATATTCAATTTCTAGAATTTATAAGAAAATTATGAATTTTGTTGTCCAACGTGTGAGAAAAAATAGAAATATTTATTTTAAGACTTAGGTATTAATTATATTTCATTAAAAAAGATTGAATGATCTTCTATAAAATCTATTTATATTTTGTCAAAGAATTTTATAAAAAGTACTATAAAAATATTCAATTTCTAGAATTTATAAGAAAATTATGAATTTTGTTGTCCAACGTAACAGACTTAAAAAAAGAAAATATTAAATTTAATTTTAAATTCTTTCTATTTCTAACAATAATTAAACAAAATATAATTTTAATTAAATTTGTCAAAAAAATTTCAAAGAGAAAAAATTTCACATCCTATAAAATAATGAAAAATAAATCAATTTAAAAATTTTTTGCAATTAATATTATAACAAAACAAATAAGAATTATTAAAAATTTGAACTAATTAGAACAAAAGTGATACGAAATTTATAAAAATGAATTTTTGAATAACAAATAAAGTAAATAAAAATAAATAAAATTTCTTTTCTTAGAAAATAAATTTTAAAAAACCGTATTTTTCATTAATATCAATTAATTTTTTTACAATTATTCATAAGCAAATTTTTCGATTTTTTTGAATGTTAAATTAATATACTAATATTATTATAGATTGAATTTTAAAAAATTTCAAATTGAAGTTTTAGAAAAGTTGAATTTTAAAAGATTTTAATTAAAAATTCTGAATAATTTAGTCTTTAAAAATATTTTTATTCACATTTTCTCAAATTAGTTATGTTTTTAAATATGTAATATTTAATTGAAAAATTTTCAAATTAATCAAAATTTCATGAAATTGTCTTGTAAACAAGTGGATTTTAGAAATATTTTAGTTATTTCTAGAATATAATTGAATTGAAATTTTGAAAATAATTTTTAATAAGTTGCAGTAGCAATTCTTAAAAATTATTCAAATTTAAAGGATTTGAAATTTGAATTTTTTTTTGAAATTTGAATACCTTCTATATGGAAAAATAATGGATAATAATTAAATATTTATTTCAAAAAATCTATTTAAGTTCAAAATTATTTTTAGAGTAAACTAAAATATTTTTAGGGTTTGGGAAAAAGTCAAAGTTTTGTCTAAAAATCAGGAAATTCTTTCAATCTTTCATGGAATAATTTATTTTCAGAGTTATTATTTATGACCGGGAAAAATAATTTATGACCGGGAATGGACCGGGAAATGACCGTGAATTTTTTTTTACAAAAAAAGTGGCCACCCTGAATAAAATTCGTTGCATAAATTCAATTATAACATTTTCTGAGGATTTAGAAAAATGAAATTATTCTCTTAAATTTTTTGTAAGAATTTAATTACATTTCACGAATATAATGAAATTCTTCATTGAAATTCAAATATTTTCACAATCTACTTTTTTAATAAAAGTTCTCAAAAGAATTTAATTATTTTAAAAAAATGTAATAATAAATTCGATGCAGGAATTCAATTATTTTCATAAATAATAAGATTCTTTACATTTTTTCAATTATTTAAAAAAAAATTTGAAAAAATTCATTGCAATAATTCAATTACTTTCATAAATTAATAAAATTCTTCACAGGATTTCAATTATTTTTAATACAATTTTAAGTAAATTCTTCGAAAAATGTAACTATTTTCAAAAATTTTGTTAAAATTCTTCGAAAGAATTCAATTATGTATTTTTAAAAATTCATGCTATAATGCTTATAATATTCAATTATTATCTAAAATTTTAATTCTAATATTCATTTTTAAATCAATTTTCATTGGAAAATTCTACAAGAATTCAATTATTTAAATACAAAAATAAATAATTTATTGAATAAATGAATATTTTTCGAAACTAAATTATCATAAAGAATTTTATCAACAAACTTGAATTATTTCGAGAAATTTTAATAAAATTTTCAAGAATAATTAAATTTTTCGAGGAATTCAATTAAAATTGTATTAAAAATAATTGAAATTCTATGATGAATTTTATTATTCATGAAAATAATTGAATTTTTGTAAAAAAAATGTTATTATTTATGAAAATAATTGAATTATTGCGAAGTTTGCTTAGAATTTTATCAAAATTTTTTTTTTAAATAATTGAATTCTTTTGAAAAATTTTATTAAAACTGTAGACATTGAAAATCATTGAATTGAGAAAAATTTTGCAAAGAATTTTATTAAAATTTTTGAAAATAATTGAAATTTGGAGAAAAATTTTATTATTTTTAAAGATAATTGAATTTTGACGATAATTTTTTTTAATTTTTGAACATAATTGGATTTTTGCGAAGAATTTTATTACTTTTAAAAATAATTGAATTTCTGCAATCATTTGTAACTTCTCCAAAATTCAATTTTTTCCAGTTACTTAAATAAAAATCCCTGACTTCCCTGACCAATTTTACTTTCCCCGACTTTTCCCTAAATTTCCTGATTTCCCTGACCTGTGGCAACCCTGGAATTTTGGATGGTTTAAATTTGATAATCTTAGTTCCTATAGAAAAATAATAATGATTAATTATTTATTTAACAAAGAAGTTATTAATTGTTTCGAATAATTTTACAATTAGAGAAATTAGTAAATAAATGTAATAGAACATTTTTTTGAAAATCTAATAATTTTTTTTCGCTATAGACAAAGGAATTAATTAAATGTACAAGAAAATTCTTTTTCTTCAAAATCATTGATTATAAATATGAAAATTGGTAGTACTCAGGAATTGATGTAAGTACGAAATTTTGTTATTTCTAAAAAATAAAGTAATGCTAATCAAGATGTTATATTTGTTTTCTCAGGAGCGATGGAGTGGTCGCAAGCGATGACTGGGCAAATGCTCCAGAATTCGTACCATCTTCTACCCCATCAACTGCCACAGCTTCATTTAGTGCCCAACTACCTGGAGTGTCTTTAATTGGAAATGTAACGTCGGCAGTTTCATATGCTCAAGTGGTGAACCCTTCTTCTGGACAAACCTCAATTTCCGCCAGTGATCCTCTTTGTCCTTACGCAGAAGCTGGCAATATTTGCAAAAAACTCAACTGCCCTTATCTTCATGGAGATATTTGTGAATTGTGCGGTTGTGCTGCACTCCACCCACTGAACGAAGAGAGTCGAAAGAAGCATACAAATGTAAGTCAACTTCTTTATTCTCTTTTTACCAATTTATATTCCATTTATTTATTTATTATTATTATTTATTTATTTATTTTTCCATTTATTTAAGTTTATGTAAAAAATGAGAATATGCAAAATATTTCAAGTTTTTTTTCTCCATATTTTCACTTGTTTTAAAACATTTTCTTTACTTAAGAAAATAACAATCGTTCCTATATTCCTATATACATAATCAAAGTCAAAGAAAAATTTTCATTTTTTCAAAATTTCATTTAACAGATTTTTCTAATTATCAAATATTCATTTGGACTGCAATACATCGAGCATATAATTATAAGGTCAGATATCTTTTCAAAAAAGTTACAATTGATTTAATTCTATAAATTGGCCAAATAAAAATTTGTTGATTGAGAACTCTATAAAATGAAGGCTTGAGAACCTGAAATGTATAAACAGAGATTGGAAGTAATATACATTTTACGTGTATAAAATGATTATTTTATTAAATGAAATGAAAACTGAGATTAAGAGCAGGTTGTAATGTACATGACACATTCAGCCTTCCAACTCACAAAAGTTATCTGAAAAACAATAAACAATAAATATAAATATTTATTGTCGTCTTCTTTGCTTGTAAATTACTTAATGAATAATTTTACTTAAATATTTTAAAATTAATTCAATTTTAAAAGAGTTGCGTTTACAATTTTCATAAATAGATGAACTTCAAAAGGTTTTAATTTGAAATTTTAGAAAATTTCAATTTTTCAATTAATTAAATTAAAAATCTTAAAGAATTTAGATTTTTTAAAAATTTTTATAATTCAAATTGAAGGGCTACATAAAATAAGGGGACGAACGCATGGTTGAAGGGGATAATATCAGTCAGGTAGCAGCGAGCGGCTCAAGGCTTGTCACTGCTACCCGACTGGTACTATCCCTTCCAAGCCTCGCGTTCGTCCCCTTATTTTATGTAGCCATTCAATTCTTCTGCAATTATTAGTTAAATTTTTTAATATATATTTAATTAATTATTAAAAATCATGGATTCATAGAAGAATTTTAGTTAAAAACACTAAAAAAAAATTGAATTTTAGAGAATTTACAAATAATTGCAGAAATTCAATTATTTTCAAAAAAATTTTTAAATTATCGTTGAAATTTCGATTATCTTTAAAAATAATAAAATTCTTCTCCAAAATTCAAATATTTTCAAAAATTTTTATAAATTTTTTTTACAGAGATTCAATTATTTTCATGAATAATAAAACTCATTATAGAATATTAATTATTTTTAACACAATTTTAATCGAATTCCTCGAAAAATGTAATTATTTTTAAAAATTTTATTAAAATTTGTCTAAAAAATTAATTTAAATAAAAAATTTGATAAATTAAATTAAATTAAATTAATTTGAGAATTGAATTTTGAAAAACATTCATATTTTGAATAATTTTTTTTTTGTATTCAAATTTGGATTCTCGTAGAATTTTTAATAAAAATTTATTTTAAAATAAATTTCAGTTAAAATTTCAGATGATAATTGAATATTAAAAGCATTATAGCATGAATTTTTAGAAACAATTATTGAATTTTGTAAAATTTTAATTGAATTTTTTCAAAATTACCCTAAGTTTTTATTTTCTAAATATTTAATTGAAGAATTTCCGAATAATTGAAATTTCGTAAAATTGAATTGTAAACAAATGGATTTGAAATTTCTCTAGGAACTTTTACAAAATTTTTTTAAAATAATTGATAATTGTCAATTTATTTCTTTTGAGAAGAAGAATTTTAATAAAAGTTTTGAAATTAATTACATTTTTCGAAGAATTTACTTAAAATTGTATAAAAAATAATAGAAATCCTATGAAGAATTTTATTATTTATGAAAATATTTGAATTCTTGCAACGAATTTTATTACATTTTTTATAAATAATTGAATTAATGTGACGAATTGTGTTAATTGAAAAATAGATGAGATCTTGGGAATGATTTTACTAACATTTTTGTAAATAATAATAAAGATGTTTCACGATGCACGATTTTTTTCGGAATCTTAAGAAAACCATAGCGAAAATTTATTTATTTAATTTATTTAATTTCGTTTGGTCGTTCGGAAGTTATTCAATTATTATGTAATAATATAAAAATTTTTTTCATTTTTTTATGCTGAATTTTTTTCAAAAAATATTAAGTGATTTGATTAAGATGGAAAGAAGATATAACGATTTCAAAATTTTTCCCCAATTTTGACATTCTCAAAAATTCAAAAAATAATTGAATTTTATAAAAATTGCACTTTTAATTTTTATAAATAATAAATGAAGAAGTTAGAAAACTGGCTATTTAATTTATTTTAATTTTATATAAATTACAAAATTTTTTATTTTCAAAAATCAATTTCAATTTTTGAATAATGTTAGATATAAAATTTTTAAAAAATCAACTTTAATACAATTCTTTAAAATAATTTTTCGAAAGAATTCAATTATTTTCTGAAATTTAAATAAATCTTTCGAAACAATCCAATTATTTTTATAAGTAGTAAGTAAAATTCATCTCAAGATTTAAATTATTTTTTATAAATAACAAAATTCTTCGTTTAATTCAATTATTTTCAAAATTTTCAATTAAAATTATTCAAAAAATGATTAATTACAATTACTAACAATCAATTATATTAAATAAAAAGTATATGGAGTGTATAACTCCTTTTTCATTTTAAGCCAAGTATAATAAAGTAAAGATTTCCTTCTTTACAAGGAAGGAAAATTTAAAGGAAGGCCTTTACAAGGTCTTCTTTACAAGGCCACAAGAAAGAAGGAAATCTTTACTTTATATTAAATAAATTCAAGAAATTTTTTTGAAAGAATTCAATTATTATCAAAACCTGTAATAGTATCTATTCTTCGAAAGAATTAAATTATTTTTTTTGTTTTAATAAAATTCCTTGAATGAATTAAATTATTTTCTATTATTTTAATAAAATCCCTTGAATTACAAAATTATTTTATAAAATTTTAATAAAATTCTCAGAAGAATTTAATTATTTTCTCAAAATTTTAATAAAATTCAATAATTAAAATAATGTTTAATTTCAATAATACAATTATTTTAAAAACTTGAAAGAAATTGTTTATAAAATTCAATTGCTTTCAAAATTTTCAATTAAAATTATTAAAGAAACTCCATTATTTAATTAAAATTCCAAGAAATTCTTCGCAAGAATTTAATTATTTTTATAAATAATTAAATTCTTCCCAAGAATTCAATTATATTCATAATTAATAAAATTCTTTGAAGAAATTCAATTATTTTTAAATTTTTTGATAAAATTCTTTGCAAGAATTCAATTATTTTCTATACCCTATACATTAATTTTAAAATTAAAAATATTTAAAAAGTGAAATTATTAAAAAAATAGGAAACAAAAAAGCAATCGCATGTCGGTGTATCTTCTAATAAGCCTTCTAAGATATTAAATTTAATATTCGTATACCAGGGTATCAATTTTTCTTTCAAAATAATTTTAATAAAATTCTTCGTAGAATTAAATTAATTTCAATAGTTTATAAAAATTCAATTATTTTTAATATCTACGTATTTAAATAAAATTCCATAAAAGAATTCAATTATTTAAAAAAAAAATTTATCATTAAAATTCGTCTCAAGAATTCAATTATTTTCAAAAGTAATAAAATTCTTCACAGAAATTCAATTATGGTCAAAAGTTTAAAAAAATTCTCGTCAAAATTTCAATTATCTTTATAAATAATAAAATTATTCTTGAAAATTCAATTATTTTCAAAAAATTTAATAAAATTCTTGGCAAAATTTCAATTATTTTCAAAAACTTTTCTCAATTCAATCAAATTTTTTTTACAGAGATTCAATTATATTTTTAATGCAATTTTAATCTACTTTCTCGAAAATGGAAATTATTCTTAAAAATTTTATTAAAATTCGTCAAATGAATTTTAATTATTTAAAAATTTGTTGATAACAAATAAAGTCAAGTCACTAATTCCAAAATAGTAAACATTTTTACTAATTCAAATTTAAAGAGAAAGTATTATGACGTGAATTTTTAGAAATAATTGAATTTTAAATAGGTTTCAAATTATAATCTTTGAAAGTTTGAATTTTTCATACTTTTAACTAAAAATTGTGTAGATTGAATTTTTTTTAAAGTTTAATGGAACTTTTTTGAAATTATTTCAAGTTTTTATTTTCTAATATATATTTAATTGAAGAATTTCCGAATAATCGATTAAATTTTGTAAAATTGAATTGTAAAGAAAAGGATTTGAAAATTTTCAGAGAAATTTTTCAAAAATTATTAAAAATGAATGAATAATTAATTTTAAGAAGAATTTTAGTTAAAAATTGTAGAAAATAATTGAATTGAAATGAGAATAATTTTGATGAAGTTACAGTAACAATATTCTTATAAAATATAAAATAATGATTTTATCAGTCGGTCATCTTTAATTATTATTATAAAACATGAAGATATTGATTGCTCCGAGTTGAAGACTCGGAGTGATCGATATATTCATGTTTTATAACAATTTTTTGAAAATTGTTTAATTTCAAAAAGGTTTGAATTTGAAATTTTTGAAAATCGTAATTCTTATGGAAAAATAATAATGATTTAATATTTATTCAAAAAAGAAGCAATGGAACATTTTTCTGAGTAATAATTTTTAAACTGATTGAGAATATTCTTTAGAGTCAAGAAGTAAGAATTTTGTCTGGAATTTAATTTTGTCAGGGAAAAACAAAATTAAATGTTTGTTGGCAACAAATGTAGTTTTAAAAACCTGGAAAAATTCCGTTTTTTAACCTGGAAAACATGGAAAAGTCAGGGATTTTTGAAATGAGCAAAAGCGTGACAACCATGTATACAAAACATGAATATAAATATATGTTGTCGTACAAAGTAAAAAAATCTGTAACTCTCACTTGTTTTTAGAATATGTTCAGCATGTATTTTTACAAGAAAAACAACCTGAAAACAAATGTCAGTCATAACCATTTCACTTAGTACGACAGTTTGTTGACATTCTAAAGAATTCAGGTATACTTGTACATTTACGTTAACGTAAAAAAAAAAAAATGCTTAAAAATATTTTTAAGCATTTTTAAGGAAAATGACAATTTGTATTATTTTGTGTAAAATTATAGTCATTGTGTGGAACAACGCCCTTCCTTATATTATTTTCTATTATTCCCTTAAATATTATCCAAGAATCCTTTTTATTTAAGAGAACGTTTGTGAGCTCTAAAAATTGTCCTTTCTCCATAAACCCTTAAATATAATTTCCACATTATAAACATGAATACACTGAGAATTCTTTAATTTCAAATTTTAGAAATCATTAATGAACTTTACATGTAAAAAATAGTGTTTGAAATGATTTAAAAATTAAATAATAATTGAAACTTGATTAATCTTTTCTAAATGAATATCAGTGAATAAAAAATTGTTTGTTTTTTAACAGGCTTGCGTAAAACAACACGAGGTAGACATGGAAATATCGTTTGCAATTGCACGCAGTAGAGATAAATCTTGCGGGGTATGCTTCGAGACAATTATGGAAAAATCTACACGTGAACAGAGGTTTGGAATTCTACCCAATTGTAATCACTGTTTTTGCCTGACTTGCATCAGAAAATGGAGACAAGCAAAACAGTTCGACAACAAAATAATCAGAGCCTGCCCCGAGTGTAGAATCCCATCCGATTTTGTCTGTCCAAGTATGTATTGGGTGGACACAAAAGAAGAAAAAGATAAACTAATCACAGATTACAAAGATGCCTTAAGGTAAAAATTTATTTAGACAACATTTCGAAATTTCATTCTTTTTCAAAAGTCAAAAATTTTCGTATAATAATAAAGTCCGTAATTTCATTGAAAAAGAACGAAAAATTCGCAAACTGTACTATATAATTTTGGATATTTTGAAAAAGTTAAAAATTATTGCAGAAATTCTATTATTTTCAAAAGTAATAAAACTCTTCGCAGAAATTCAATTGTTTTTAAAAAAAATGTTATAAATTCTCGTCAAAATTCCAATTATCTTTATATAAATAATAAAATTCTTTTCTGAAATTCAATTATTTTCAAAAATAAATTTCATTTTAATTTGGAAAAATTTCAATTATTTGCAAAAATTTCCCTCAATTCAATATCAACTATTTTACTAAAATTTTCCAAAGGAATTCAATTATTCAAAAAAAATTTTTAATAAAATTCTATGTAAACATTTAACTATTTTCATAAACAATAAAAATACAGAATTCGATTATTTTTAAATATTTTTTATAAAATTCTTCTCAGAAATTCAATTGTTTTCAAAAATTATCATAAAATTCTTCACAAAAATTCTATTATTTTCAAAACTTTTAATAAAGTTTTTGACAAGAATTCAATTATATTTATAAATAACAAAATTCTTCGCAAGAATTCAATTATTTTTATAAAGATCAAAATTCTTAGTAGAATTTAAATTATTTAAAAACTTTTTTACAAAATTCTTTGCAGAAATTCAATTATTTTGAAAAATAACAAATCTTTTAGCAAGAATTCAATTACTTTTCAAAATTAATCATAAAATTCTTCGCAAAAATTCTATTATTTTCAAAATTTTTAATAAATTTCTTGATAAGAATTCAATTATTTTTATAAATATGTAACAAAATTCTTCGTAAGAATTCAATTATTTTTATAAAAATCAAAATTCTTAGTAGGAATTAAATTATTTAAAATTTTTTTTACAAAATTCTTCGAAGAAATTCAATTATTTTTAAAAATTGCAATACAGTTCTCAATTTATTATAAATATCAAAATTCGTTGCAGAAATTCAATTATTTTCAAACATTATATAAAATTCTTCAAAGAAATTCAATTATTTTCAAAAATTTTAATAAACTTCTTTGAATACTCGTAGAATTTTCTAATAAAAATTTATTTAAAAATAAATTTTAGTTAAAATTTGAGATAATAATTGAATAATATTAAAAGCATTATAGCGTGGATTTTTAGTAATAACTGAATTTTAAAAAGTTTGCAAATTAAAATTTTAGGAAAATTTGAATTTTTCATACTTTTAACCAATAATTCTGTAGAATTAATTTTTTTTTTGAAAAAGTTTAATTGAATTTTTTATTTTCTGGAATGTATTTAATTAAAGAATTTCCGAATAACTGAAATTTCACATAAAATTGTATTTTAAAGAAAGGATTTGGATATTCTCAAAAAGAACTTTTTCGAAAATTATTAAATTTATAGAAGAATTTTGGTTAAAAATTGTAAAAAATAATAATTGAATTGAAATGATGAAAATAATTTTAAAGAAGTTTTTCTTTTTAAATGTTAAAGATTTTTAAATTAATATACTGAAAATCATTGAATTCAATTATTTTAAATACAATTATAATTGATTTCCAGGGGAAATTAAATTATTTATAAATTCTTTATAAGAATTCAATTATATCAATAAATAGTAAATTTTCCACAAGAATCCAATTATTTTAAATACAATTTTAAAAAAATTCTTCTCAAAAATTCACTCATTTTTTAAAATTTTGCAAAAATTCAATTACTTGTAGAAATAATAAATTTTTTCGCAGGGATTCAATTATTCAAAAAAGTTTTAATAAAACTCTATTCAAGAATTCAAATATTTCCAGAAATGATTAAATGGTTGATGTACTGAAAATTATTGAATTCTTGTAAAGTATTTATAAAAAAAATTTGAAAATAATTGAATTCATTTCAAGAAGTTTATCAAAATTTTTTCAAATATTGAATTCTTTCGAGAAAATGTAATTAAAATTATTATAGTGAAAATAATTTAATTCTTGGCAAGATTTTTATTAACATTCTTTAAAATAATTGAATTGTTTTGAAGAATTTATTTGAATTTTTCTTGGAAATAAAGGAGTTTTTTTAGAATTTCTTTTTAGGTTTTAAAATAATCGTGTTTATTATTAATTGTAATTAATGATTTGCCTATTAAATTATATTAAAATTATTCATAGAACATTAAATTTTTTTAAACAATTTTATTAGAGTTTTTGTAAATAATTACATTTTTTTAAAAATTGTTGAAAATAATTGAATTTAAATAATATTTTTAAATATAATTTATTGTATTCTTTCGAGAAATTTTATTAAAAATGGTTCTTGAAAATAATCGAATTTAATTAATATTTTAAAAAATAATAAAATTGTATTCCTTCGAGAAATTTTATTAAAATTGTATTGCAAATAATTGAATTGCTCTAAAAAAATTATTATTTATGAGAAAAATGAAATTCTTGCGAAAAGTTTTATTAAAATTTTTGTATAATAATAGACAAGAGTATTTAATATTATGTACTTAATAAGTGAATTTTTAAAATTTTGAATCTGTAATCATTAAAAAATTGATGTTTATTCAATGAAATTGATGTTTATTATTGAATTAATAATTTCGTATTTCATTTTACAGTACCAAAGATTGTAAGTATTTTAAAAAAGGGCGAGGTAAATGTCCCTTTGGAAACAAGTGCTTTTATCTTCATGCTCTGCCCGATGGCACGAAAACCGATGTAGGACCACCGGTCAGACAACGTCGCAATGCCGAAGCAGACATTGACATTTTTCATGTAAGTCATGGATCATCCTGGGACTATTTATTGACATTAATCTATATTTTTTACTACCTCCTTGGGTTTGGTGCATCTATTTATATCTCATATTTGTTCTATCGAAAATCCATATTATTTTTCTACATCTTCTCTATATTAATAATGTGCTCATTATGGTTCTTTCCATATTTTTCCAAGTATTTTTTGAGATACTTGAATATTTATTTTGATAGATAATCATTGCGTACAAATTACTAAGTTTGCTATACGCATTTGTATTGTCGATTTTCATATCAAAATGTCTAAAAAAATATGTAAAATTTCTTATTTTTTTTTAACCAATTGCAAATTGTATGTTTTTAAAGATAATTTAAAATTCACAAGTGATATGACATATCAAATACTCTAAATTTTGTATTTGTTTAAGACTGATATTGATTTTTAATAAAATTGTTGAATGAAATTTGAACGTTTGATGATTTTCTTCTTTTAAATAGAATATTTCGATTAAGGATTCATCTTGACATTCGAATCGAAAAATTATTTTTTTATTTTGAAAATTCGATGTTATATTATTTATCTTAGGAGTCAGTAGCTCCTCCGCCCTCAAAAGGCTACGTGGTTTATGAACGATTTCTTACTTGACAAAAAGAGGTTTTTATTTTTTTTGAAAATTTAATATCTTTTTCTTGTTGAAAAGTAGAGGTTGAGTTTTAATTTTTGTCTCAAAAAACAATTTTTTAATTCTAATTGAAAGTAAATGTTAAAACATTTGTTGTAAGATTTTATCGATAGAGAAGTTATTTTCTAATAGAAATTCTTTTTTGATCTACAGCAATTACTATTGTGGGATTTTCTGGACGAGAGAGGAAATCGTTGGATGTACAGCTTCGACGATTTCGATGACATCATCAACAACATCTCAGACTCGGAGTCTGACGAGTGGTCAGAATACGAAGTCCATGTCGTCTAGTCGTTTGCTTGGCGAAATAAAAAATGAAAAGAAAGAAGTGAATATGTCACCCAATCCAATAACAAGTTGCACTCCATCGGTTGAGTTGCATCTGTAGCCATTGTTCGATTTCGTCCAAGTTATTCGTAAAAAGGCAGTGGCGCTTTGCAAGTGACAGTCCTTTTCCAATTTGCCGATCTCCACCTAGTTGACAAAAAAAGGAATTAAAAATCAACCAAGCGTTTGTCGTCATATGCGAGTGAATGATTTCCTAGATTATAAATAGGGTTTAGGCACACTTCGGCGAATGTGGTGGAAGTCTCTGTAATCGTTCGCTTCTATGTCTAATTCTTAGGGATAAATTAGCTATAAAAACGCTTGGTTCGGATTATAATACTGGTGGAATACGGCCTTCTTTCATTTAGCTTTAAAAAAAATTTATCCGATTAGAGACTCTCAAGCCTTCTGTTCGGTCATCCGTATAAAAAAAAGAAGAAAAAGTGGTCCAAATTATGAGAATTACGGTACAACTCGCATTTAGAAAGACAGTGATTCTTGGTTTTCTCTAGTTTATAGGTTACAAAAACAAAACTCATTAATTTATTTTTCTTAAATGTTTTTCTCGTATGTTAAATATATGTTTACTCACTCGCGCTTATACTTGAAGAGTAAAAATGTATCCAAGTCGAATGAGAACAAAAATTCTGCGCGTGAAGACGTGAATTACTGTCACTTTTTATTGTTAGTAGAAGGAAAGAGAGAAAGAGGAAACAAAAAAAATGAAAGAATTGCATTAGAGAAAATGAAATAATTTTCTGCAGTGTTTATGTTTATATTTGTAGTTGTTACGGCATTATCTACCTTAAGAAGAGTCGCAACCGAGTTGAGAAAAAGAATAGTAGACGAATTTTATTTTGGCATTTATCCAAGGTTTTCGTTGATCGAATTTTTGTCAAGTTAAGAAGAAGAAGAAGAAGAAGAAGATTTTTCTCTTCTTGCTATAGGTGCTAAGAAACTTGGTTGCGACTCAGAAAAGCAGCTATAGATATAGACTAATAGCTTACGAGTAATATAGAAGAACTTAAGTTTGCTTTTTACTCTTTTTCTCGATCTAGTAGACGTCAATTAAAACTACGGATGCAATCCAAAAAGAACGAGTGAATTTTCTGCTATTTGAAATTTGAAATTTTAGGGAATTTTGTCGAGAAATTTGACGTCTTTTTGGATTGTCTATATAGAGATGAGACAAGAATGTGTGATCTGGCAGTCGTATTTGTGCAAAGCGTTACGTTTTTTCATTTCGAACAAATGTTTAAATTCTATTCAATTAGTATGATAATCGCCGATAGTTGGTACAATATGCTTTAATATGACTGCACTGTGAAATTATTCTAGATAGATTATTCTACCTTTTAATATTGATATACTAAATTTCATTTCTCCAAAACCTCAAACTACATTTTTTAGAGCTCAAGACAATTTTCGTAAATTCGTAAAAATTTCGACACTGCTAGAGAAGAATTGTTCAGCCTCGTTTCAAGTTTTATCGTTGACATTGTTGTTGTTATTGTTGCTATACTACAGTCGCTGTTATTGTTGCAAATCCAGAAGCTCTTGATTTTATTTTTTTTTTCGAGATAAAGAGTTAGTACTAGTCAAAATTTCACGAGGTATACATTTTTCTAATTAAGTTATTTTAAAATTTTCAATTTCAAATTTTATATACAATACAGTATTTTTTCAATTGATCGTAATTGGAAAGAATAGAATAGAATTTTTTAAAAATGCAAAAATAAATTAAATTCTTTTCGGAATTTTTGAATTCGAAGTACGTAAGCATTACTTGACTCAACATAATATATTTAAAAGTATTTCGTTAATTTTCAATGTTTTTCAAAGTATTTCACTCAATATTGAAAAGTATTAAAATTCAGTAGCCTTAAGCACTTGATTAAAAACGTTAAAAACTATAATTAAAACAATACTTGTTTCAGAGCGAATCTTATTTGTTTATTTTTCTTTTTTTTTCTAGATTTAGATTCATTGCTGGAGATCAACATTGTTAGTAATTACGACTTCCATATTCATAAATAAAAAGAATTCTAACAGACTTTGAAATTTTGTCGTAACGCGCCCACCAGTAAAAAAAATTCCAGATTTTCATGTTCATAGAGACTACAGAGAGAAAAAAATGATGGAAAAGCATTTCTCCGCACCGTCGAATTCCAAACGGCTATCACGAGCCTGTATTTCAAGAATTATTTTATCAACTTTTCTATATCAAGCAGCCATATCGATTGGCTTCAATTTTCATTATAATATATATGTATTATATTTTTGTTATTGGAAAAGTAGAGTATATAGTAATAAAATACATAGTTACATTCAGGCCACGCGTTTCTCTCACTTCAGGACCTGCAATTTATTTCTACGTAGAAAATTATCAGGGTTGCCACGCAACCTGGAAATATTTATGGCATGTGATATTTTACTTAAATTCAAAATTAATTCAATTTTAAAAGAGTTGCGTTTACAATTTTAATAAGTACATAGATGAACTTCTTCAAAAGGTTTTAATTTGAAATTTTGTAAAATTTCAATTTTCAATGAATCTTATAATTAGAAATCTTAAGGGGATGTCAAAGTCGATGCGATTTTCCCATTGAAGCTCAATGCAAAAATCCAATCGACTTTGACATCCCCTTAAAGAACACTTTTTAATATAGATTTAATTCATTATTAAAAATAATGGTATAAATATAGGTATAAATATACCTATAAGAATTTTACTTAAAAACACTAAAAGAAATTGAATTTTGGAGCAGTTACAAATGATTGCAGAAACTCAATTATTTTCAAAGTAGTAACATTCTTCGCAGAAATTCAATTACTTTCAAAAATTTTCCTCAATTCAATGATTTTCAATATTTCACAGGAATTCAATTATTTATAATTTTTTTTTAATTTCTTGGTAATTAACTACATTACTTTCATAAATAATAAATAACAAAAATCTTGATAATTAACAAAATTCTTCAGAAAAATTCCATTATTTTCAAAAATAAGAAAATTTTTAGCAGGAATTCAATTATATTTAAATATTTTTTATAAAATTTTTCGCAGAAATTCAATTATTTTCAAAAATAACAAAATTTTTAGCCAGAATTCAATAATTTTTATAAATAACAAAATTTTTCGTAAGAATTCAATTATTTTCATAAAGAACAAAATTCTTAGTAGGATTAAATTATTAAAAAATTTTTTTACAAATTTGAATTATTTTATTTAATTATTTTTTTTACAAAATTCTTCGAAGAAATTCAATTATTTTTAAAAATTGTAATACAATTCTTGTCAAGAATTCAACTATTATTATAAATATCAAAATTCTTCGCCGAAATTCAATTATTTTCGAACACTACATAAAATTCTTCGCAGAAATTCAATTATTTTTAAAAATAAATAAAAATTCTTTTTAAAAAATAACAACATTATTAGCAGGAATTCAATTATTTTTTTAAATTCTCATAAAATTCTTCACAGAAATTAAATTATGTTAAATATTTTAATCTTAATTAAATCTCTTCAAAGAATTCAATTATTTTCAAAAATTTTAATATAACATTCCTCGCAGAAAATTAATTAATTTCAATAATTTGTCAAAATTCAATTATTTTTAATATTTACTATTTTAATAAAATTTCACAAAAGAATTCAATTATTTAAAAAAAAATATGAATAAAATTTGTCTCAAGAATTAAAATATTTTCAACCTGGAAATAGCATGGAAATTGAAAAAGAGTATGGAAAACCTGGAAATAGCATGGAATTTGAACGAATTTCTGGAATTTTTTTGGGTTAATGAAAGATATTAAGAAAAATTTCATTCAACATGTTATTTTTCTTTAAAAATGTTAACATGCAATTTTCCTTTTCCATGTTATCTTCTCTTTAAATTAATTTAATTTTTTTTAATTATTGACTAAATTAAATTAATTTAATTTTTCTTTTTAATTATTGACTAAAACTGTAAAAAATAGGATTTTATATCTTTATTAGTATTACGATTGTCAAAATTTTTTGTTACCAGTTCGACGCCCCCCGACTATAAAATGTTTATTCAAATCTCCGTGTAATAAAATGTTAACTCAGAAATTCGTGCTGTATAATTGTTTTTAAAAATTTCATGCAATATAATGTTAACTCAAGTTGCATTCAATAAAATGTCAATTCAACCACCAGTGCAATATAATGTTATTGAAAATACTAAAAGTTTTATTTCTAGCCTTTAAATTATATGAGGTTAAAGAAAAACATAATTAGTGAATTTTTCTTGCGAAAGTGAAAAAGTTATGTTATAAATATTTTTTACTTATACTAAATTAATTAGGAAAATGAAAGAATAAAATTTATTTAATTCTAACTTTGAAAACTATTTTTATTAAAATTATAAATATTTAAAAATATTAAAATTACTTTAACAGTCCCTTTTTTGAATTTAGTTTTCCATTTTGTAGCAGTTTTTAACGCTGTACATATATAATAACTCTTTTTTTCAACCAATTGGTCTGCTGAAGAAAAACCAAACTGTTTGTCTAAAGAGTGGAAAACTATGCAGATATTTCACCATAAAAAAATAATCTTTTATTCACCATTCTGCATTACTGACTTTTTTTATAAAAACTTAACCCATAAATAAGGAACTATACGAATATTATTGTGCTGTCAACAGTTGCAACTTCAATCTATTTAAGTAATTTAATAAATAAATTAATAATCTAATTTAACCTCATACAATTTAAAGGCTGGAAATAAAAATTTTAGTATTTTAAATAACATTGTATTGCACTGGTGGTTGAATTGACATTTTATTGAATGCAACTTGAGTTAACATTATATTGCATGAAATTTTTAAAAACAATTATACAGCACGAATTTCTGAGTTAACATTTTATTGCACGGAGATTTGAATAAACATTTTATAGTCGGGGGGCGTCGAGTTGCTTTTTGTTCAAGATTTTGAACAAAGTTTGAAGATGAAAATTATTTAATTTAGACATGACTTCAATGTGCTAATTATGGCTGATTCTTCTGAAAGTGACATTTTTGATATCTCGATTAATTTTATAAAATCTACTCTCTGATAATATTATTAACCATTTTCATAGAAAAAATTTAGCACTTACTTATCATTAAAAAAATTAAACAATTTTATTTAACTGAATTTATACAATGCCTAAAATAATTTCATCTTTAAAGTCTTTTTAAAATGTCTCCAATAGGAGTTCTATAAGAAAACTAAATTTTTATGCTTTTTTTCAAACTCTTAGAAATTTTTTAAAAATAATGCCAGAAAATACATCTATCATTAAAATACATTCTATCATTATGTGCATTTTAAAAATTTTTTGACCTCCGTTTTATATGTGATAAAAATGTTTAAATTTTGTCTTCCGTTTATGTTAAAATTACTTCACGATGATTAATAATGTTTTTATACATTAAAAATATTCTAAAAAAATGTGAATGCACATTAAAATAAAGTTAATGGTCTGATTGCTTTTATTTTTGATTATTGCTTTTATAAATATTCAAATTTTACATATTGGCCCGAGTAAAATTCAAAGAAGAAAGACTTTAATATTTTCAAATTAATTTTGCGCAACTTAAATTCTTACTGTTGAGTATGAAATAAAGTAGTTTCAATAGAAAAAACCATATAATTTTAAAAAAATTTATTGAAAAATCGAATATCAAAAGTATCACTTTCAGAAAAATAAACATAAAAATGCAGTTTTGTAAAATACTTGTTTTTTCATGACAAATAATTCCTAAATTTTAACCTGGAATTTTTAATATTTTTAACCTGGAAAACCTGGAAAAAGCCTGGAATTTTGAAATCTAGATTTTGTGGCAACCATGTTTGATAAATTAAAACATTTTTGAAAAAAACCATAAAAACCAAAAAAAAACACCAAAAAATTGCAAAATTGCCTTTTTTTACAAAAAACGTTGTAGTTTCTTAAAAATTTGACTAATTTAAAAACTATTTTAGGTTTTTAAAGTTAAATAGATACACTTTTAGGGGAAAAAATTAGTTTTTGTATTACTTTCAAAAAACATAATTATTTGAACATCTGAAGTGAAAGAAATTAAAGACAATTGACGAATAGTGAAAATCATAAAAATGAATAGAGAAAGGTAGATTATGCATTTTGAGTCCCTCTAATTATGCGCTAAAATTGTGCACAATTATGCGGAATTATGCGCTTAAATTGTGTAAAATTATGTGGAATTATGCGTCTAAAAAAATGAATTCTGCGTTAATTATGCGCTAAAATGAGCATGATTATGCAGAATTATGCAATTAAAAAGAATTCTGCTTCAATTATGCGCTAAAAAATGTTCATTTTACAAAATTATGTTGCATTTAAAAATTTTTTTTTTTGATTTTAAACGGTTACTGGTTATTTTTCGAAACCAACTTCCCGAAAGGCCCTATCCCGAATGTCTAAAATTACAAATACCTTTTTCCCGAATCTAATTTCCCGAAGATTTATGTACCCAAAAATTTTTTTTGTTTTTTAATATGAAATGGATATATGTGCGACTCCAAGTAAGAATTTAGTTTTTTCGGAGTAAGTAAACCAATTGCAATAAAATTCAGGAATTTTAATCTACACATAAAAAGAAATGTTTCCACCACACTTAATTCAGCAAAAAAACGAAACAATTGTTTATATTATGTTTATACAAATTTTTATAAACAAAACAGGTATTAAATAATAATTAAATAACTTTTGAACGACCAAACGGAATTGAATGAGGCAAACACTAAACAAATCTTTGCTGTGGTTTCTTTAAGATTCCGAAAAAAATTTTAACAACGGAAACATCTTCATACAAAATTTTGTATAAAAGTATTCGAGATTTTAGACATTTGATAAATATTAGACATTCGGGAAAATGACCGGAAACGATTTTACTCATCATATATAGCACTTACTGCTTTTTAAAATTTAAGATTTATTTAATTTTTCAATAACATTTAACAAGTTAGTTAACAGTTTAAAAACTTATTTATTATTTAATTTAAAAAAATATTTTAAAAATAAAGAAACTGAAAAAAATGTTCATGGTTTTTAGTTAAGAAAAGCACTATTTTGAAAATTTTGAGCCTATTATGCGATCATTATGCAAAAAGAGTACAATTATGCAATGAGTAAAAAATTATGCAATATTATGCGCTCTAGAAACATGTTGTAAAAGGTTTAAAACATGAATTAACATAGTATTATAATGTTTCTACTTGATTTTAAAAAATTATGCAATTATGCAATCGCATAATCTACCTTTCTCTAAAAATGAACTATAAAATGGACTAAAATAATAAATATTTACTAAAAATGGTGTTATAAATTTAAAATTTTACAAACTTAATATATCTGAATATATTAACATTATTCCCGTTATTTTTATATAAATAAATAAACATTAAAATTAATAACTTATGAAATGATTCTGTAAATTAATATTTAATCAAAGTTTTAATTAACAATTCTTAATACCTCTAATATATGTTAAAATATTATTAACAATATAGAATTTATAATTTAAATTTGACTGTCATATACTACATTTTTCTGTATTAGAATTTAATTTCTGACTGTAGAGAGGGCACAGAAATTTTTAATAAATCGTAGCTCAAATTTCATAAATTACAAATACAGAATGTCTATTTTTCATAAAAATAGAATTTTTGTATAAAAATGTTTCTTTTTTATAAAATACAACTTTTTCATGCATAAGCTATCAATCAAGATTCGCGGTAGAGAATCGCCGCCAAGTAAAAAGCAAAAACAGCGAATATATATTCTCGAAATATCGGCTGTTTTTCGATAAAATTGAATAACTCGAGTAAATCTTAACCGATTTGGCTCATTCTTTTTCCGTTGGATAAAGAATCAAAAAGGAAAGAATTCTGTTAAGTTTATTTAATATTTTATATAGTTTTATAGAATTTAGGCTAGGAAAACCGAAAAAATAGTGATTTTTTGAGATTTAGACAAACGTGGAGCGTATAAACTCCTAAATGGATTTCTAAAATATTCTAGAATATTATTAATTAGGTTAAAATCTCGATATACATTTCAGGAAATTTTAATTCACTTCGTATTTTTTTAAAAATTTTGATTTTTCTCAAAAAAATTGAATTTTTTGACATTTAGACAAACGCAGAGACTAAACTTCTAAACGGTTATGTGAAATATTCTAGAATATTATTGAGTTAAAATCTCGATATATATTCCAGGAATTTTCAATGCACTCCATATTTTTTAAAAAATTTTGATTTTTCTCAAAAAAATTGAATTTTTTGACATTTAGACGAACGCAGAGATTAAAATTCTAAATGGATATGTAAAATATTCTAGAATGTTATTGAATGGGTTAAAATCTCTATATATTGCATAAAATTTCAATACATTAAGTATTTTTTGAAAGATTTTAGTTTTTCTTAAAAAATTTGATTTTTTGAAACGTAGAGACTAAACTATACTTAACAGATTTGTAAAATATTTTGAAATATTATTATGGATTGAAAGCTAGAAATTTATTTTAAAAACTTTAATAAATTATTTTTTAATTTTTAATTTATGTTTAAAAAAAATTTTTTAGTTTAATCAAAACATCAATTTTCTCTTCTATTCTGTTTTCATTTTTTTATTATGTAAAAATTTATGTAAAGAATCATATCTTAAATAAATTATTATTTAAAACTTAATTACATTTTATTTCAAATTATTAGATCAAAGACCACAATATTTTTACAATTAATTATTTCATTTATTAAAAAGTCGAGATGACGCAAAAAGTTTTAAAATCCCAACAAAAACATCTTTGATGCAAAAAGTTCCGCCAAGTAAAAGATTTTGTGACTGTCCAAACAATTAGTGAAATAAAAGTTTACCAAGTAAAATTTATAATTAAAATTTTAATAATGATTGATTTTAAATATTTTCTCTCCTATACACAACTCGAAGTACATATTGCAGTTGAAAAAAACAACCCGGGCTTAGCTGTTGTTATTCCTACATTGCGGCTTATTACATTTCCGAATTAAGTCAATGTTCTTCATAGCATTTTGAATTGTAACAAATAAAATTTAATTTCATAATTAACATTTACAAATGAATGAAATAGAAATTTTTTATTATGACAAGTAATTAGATTTCGTTTTTTGTGAATGTTAATTAAGAAGTTAAATTTTATTTGTTACAATTGAAAATGCAATGAAGAATATTGACTTAATTCGGAAATGTAATAAGCCGCAATGTAGAATAACAACAGCTAAGCCCGGGTTGTTTTTTTCAACTGCAATATGTACTTCGAGTTGTGTAGGAGAGAAAATATTTAAAATCAATCATTATTAAAATTTTAATTATAAATTTTACTTGGTAAACTTTTATTTCACTAATTGTTTGGACAGTCACAAAATCTTTTACTTGGCGGAACTTTTTGCATCAAAGATGTTTTTGTTGGGATTTATACTTTATCAGATGATTTTAACTGATTAAAAACGATTTTTTTAAAAAAATTGAATTTACTTATCTTGACAATTTTTCTAACGTTAGGAAGTAACTGGGGTGTCCAGACACCCCAGACGTATTTTAACAGGAGATAGAGCTCTTCCTAGAGCAAAACTTTTGGCGGCACATACAGGTGTCAAAAGATAGAGGTTCAAACTAAATTATCAACGGGTTTTGAGCGTAAAAAAATTATTGGTTAAGCCATGGGAATACTTTGAATTTTGCTTGGGGTGTCCAGACACCCCAGTTACTCCTTCTATAGGGTTAAAAATTTTATTAAAATTCGTCAAAAGAATTTTAATTTAAAAATTTGTTGATAAAATTCTTTCATAAGAATTCAGTTCTGAGAAACAGTTCATGATTCAAGAAATTATTTATTTTTGTATTTAAATAATTGAATTCTCGTAGAATTTTCTAATAAAAATTGATTTAAAAATGAATAATTTCAGTTAAAACTTTAGATAATTATTAAATATAAAGTATTATAGCGTGAATTTTTAGATATAAAGATATAATTGAATTTTGAAAAGGTTTCAGATTAAAATCTTTGAAAGTTTGAATTTTTCATACTTTTAACTAAAAATTGTGTAGATTTAATTTTTTTGAAAAAGTTTAATGGAATTTTTTTTTGGAAATTATTTTAAGTTTTTATTTTCTAATATATATTTCATTGAAGAATCGAAATTTCGTAAAATCGAATTGTAAGAAGGTAGATTTGAAAATTTAGATATAATAGATTTGAATTTCAAAAAAGGTTGAGATATTTGAATTTGAACAAATATTTTACTATTCAATTTTTCATCTCTGGATTTCTGCAGTTTTAAAAGATGAAGTTTTCAGTTGGATCAATAAAGATAACAGGGTACAAACTTTTAAACTTGACAATTATAATTGATTGATTGTAATTTTACTTCCAGAAACACTGTTTCATTTTTCCAACATTTAACATGGAAAATTCCTTTTTAGAAGATAGTCAAATTTATATTATCACAAATTGCCCTGATTCAGAAAAGAAATATTTTTTACAACTATTTTTTACTTCCTTGAATTTTCCTTTAACGACCTTTCAATCTCCTTCCTTGATTCCGGAAAACATTTTCCTTATCAACGCGGATGTGGAAAACGTGAAGTGAATTTTAATCCTTAAAAATATCTACTCCAAATGTAAATGAAGCCTAATTGAAAGCAGTATCTGGGTGTATATATATTGTCGATAAATTAGAGTTTTTTCAGTTTTCTGTGATTTTTAATTTCCAAGAAATAGATACATAAGCAAAAAGAAATCAATGGAGCTAATTTTTTCCATTCTCGTTACTTTTCTTTCATCGCAATTATTTGTTACAGGTAACTTTTAATATTTTTAAAGTCATTTCAGGGCTCGAACTAGGTCCGTCAATCCTGTAAAGGTCCGTAAATTTGCTTCAAGTCTGTAAAAGTCAGAATTTAAAAAAAAATCCGTAAAGTCCGTAATTTGATACAAAAAAGACGAAAAGTTCGTAAAATGTACGATATAATTTGGAGAATTTTACAAAAATTTACAAATGATTGCAAAAATTCAATTATTTTCAAAAGTAATAAAATTCTTTGCAGAAATTCAATTATATTCGAAAATTTTTTTAAATTCTCATTACAATTTTAATTGTCTTTATAAATAATAAAATTCTTCACCGAAATTTAATTAATATTTTCAAAAATTTAAATAAAATTCTTGAAAAAATTCAATTATTCAAAGGAATAATAAAATTCTTCGAAGGTATTCAATTATTTTTATAAATAGTAAAATTCTATCCAAGAATTCAATTATTTTTAATACAATTTTAATCAAATTTCATGAAAGAATTCAATTATTTTCAATACAATAACAAATTCGATTGTATTTAATAAATTAAAGAAATTTTTCGAAATAATTCAATTATTTTCTAAAATTTTTTGAAAAATTCAAAGAAATTCTTCAAGAGAATTTAATTAGGATTATCAAAAATTTTAATAAAATTCTTCCCAAAAGTTCAATTATTTTCATAAATAGGTAATAAAATTCTTTGAAGACATTTCAATTATTATCAAATTTTTTGATAAAATTCTTTCCAAGAATTAAATGCTTTACAAATTGTTTATAATTTTTTTTTTTGCAATAACTTAATTATTTTCATAATTTAAAATTTTTACAGTCGGTATTCAATTATTTTCGTTTATAATAAAATTCTTTTTAGGAATTCAATTACGTTCATAAATAATAATAAATTTTCAAAAGAATTTTATTATTTTCAAACACAATTTTCATAAAATTTTTTAAAAAATCAATTATTTAAATTGATTTTTAAACTACACCTACAATTCAATTATTTAAAAAAATAAATAATAAATTTCTTCGTAAAAATTCAATTATTTTTGAAAATTTTAATATAATTCGTTGCAAGAATTCAATTATTTTTTAAAAAATTTTAATAAATCCTGCTTCGAAACAATTTAATTATTTAAAAAAATTTCGATAAAATTTAGGACAAAATTTCAATTATTTTCAAAAACTTTCCCCAATTCAATGATTGTCAATATCTACTATTTTAATAAAATTTCCCAAAAGAATTCAATTATTTTAATAATAAATCTTGATAAAATTGTACTCAAAACATTTAATTATTTTTATAAAATATAAGAAAAATTTCACATATTATTTTCATAAATAATATAAAATTTTTACCGCGATTTAATTATTTTCGTAAACAATAAACTTTTTTTTAGGAATTCAATTATTTTCATAAATAATAATAACATTTTTATTATTTTCAAACATAATTTTCATAAAATTTTTCGCTATAATTCAATTATTTAAAAAAATAATCAAGTTCTTCGTAAAAATTCAATTATTTTTAAAAAGTTTGATACACGGAGAGAGAATATATATTAAATTTTGTAAAAGTATTTTACAAATTATGGAAAAAGTGCGACAAAGCGAAATTTTGATATAGAAAATACTAAACTTTAAAAAAAGATTTGTGAAATTTAGTAAAGTTATATTAGAATTTAATTAATATTTTTGATATTTGATATAATTATACTACATTTCACATAAGTTTTTTTTAAGGTTTAGTATTTTTTATCAAAATTTCGCTTTGTCGCACTTTTTCCCCAATTTGTTAAATACTTTTACAAAATTTAATATATTATATTCTCTCTCCGTGTAAAATTCTCGTAAAAATTTCACATTATTTTCAAAAATTTTCCCCAATTTAATGATTTTCAGTAACTATTATTTTAGTCAAATTTTCCAAAAGAATAGAATTCAATTATTTAAAAAAAAATTCAATAAAATTCTACGCAAACATATAATGTTTTCATGAATAACAAAAATTGCACGGGAATTAAATGATTTACAAATTTCTTATAAATTTCTTCGCAATAATTTCATTATTTTCATAAATGATAAAATTTTTTACAAAAGATTCAATTATTTTCATAAATAATAAAATTCTTTTTAAGAATTCAATGATTTTCATAAATAATAAAATTCTTTTTAAGAATTCAATGATTTTCATAAATAATAAAACTCATTGTAGAATTTCAATAATTATTTTTAATACCTACAATTTTAATCGAATTCCTCGAAAAATGTAATTATTCCTAAAAATTTTATTACAATTCGTCAAAAGAATTCTATTACTTAAAAATTTATTGATAAAAATCGTTATAGGAATTGAATTTTAAGAAACATTTAATTATTCAATAAGTTATTAATTTTGTGTATTTAAATAATTAAATTTTTGTAGAATTTTCTAATAAAAATTGATTTAAAAATGAATTTCAGTTAAATTTTATAGATAATAATTGAATATTAAATAAGCACTATAACATAAATTTTTAGAAATAATTGAATTCTGAAAATGTTTCAAATTAAAATCTTTAAAAATTTAAATTTTTTATACTTTTAATTAAAAATTCTGTGAAATTAATTTTTTTCAAAAGGTTTAACTGATTTTCTTTTTTGAAATTTTTTGATTATATTATATATCTATTTTTGTCAGTAATTGGTTCATAAATGGTTCGTAATTTTTCATTTTTGGTCCGTAAATCCCATATTTTTAAATACTTTCACTGGTTCAAGCCCTGTAATTTAATATTTAATTTTGTCTACACAAAAAAAACAATTAATAATTTTTAGCGGAAGATATGGATCCAAAAATTGTGGGTGGTTCTTTGGCGAAAGAAGGACAATTCCCCTATCAGGTTTCACTTCGAAAAAATAATAAACATTTTTGTGGAGGATCGATTATTAATGAAAATTGGATATTAACAGCTGCTCATTGTTTAACTGGGTGAGATTTTATATTTTTTATTTAAATTTGCCTCAGAGATAGTTCAACTTTTCAAAATAGTGGTTTATTTGATATTCCCAGATTCAACGACAGTAATATTGATGTTGTTGCTGGAACAAACACTTTAGATGAAGGAGGAGTATTTTATAAGTCGAAGAAAATCATACCTCATCCTAATTATAGTTCTATACTGATTAGAAACGATCTTGGACTTATTCAGTTAGAGAAAGCAATTGAATTCACTGATAAAATCAAATCCATCACTCTTCCTACTGATGATTTCTCAAAATTTGGAAACTCTGCTGTTTTATCTGGATGGGGAACAACCTCTGTATTATTTAATTTCACTATGCACAATCATTATTTATCATTTTTATGCATTCTATTTCAAATCGTACCACCTGCAAATGTCTATCGCGAGTACTGCACTTTTCATATTTTTTTTTAAATATAAAATGTAAATAATAATTTTAATAGAGAATTTCTCAAGCTTTAAGATGGTAGAAACCTTTTTCTATTTAAAAAAATTATTTCTTGGTTTAATATGCATTTAAAAACTTTGAGTGTTAATTCAAGGGTTGCCACAGGTCAGGAAAATCAGGGAATTCAGGGAACAGTCAGGGAATTTTATTAAAAGTACTGGAAAAAATTTAATTTTTAGAATTCATAAGAAAAATCAGAATTTTTGGTGTCTTTTTTGTTTGCCTCATAAATTATGAAACTACCACTAATTCTAATACAAAACCTTCAAAAATTTTTTCTATTTCTGACAAAAATGGATTTTTTTAATATTATTTAATTATTTCAAAATTTTTAACGCAATTATCTTGATAATTAACAAAATTCTTCACAGAAATTCAATTATTTTTAGGAATTTTAATGAAATTCTTTACAAAATTCAATTAATTTTATAAATAACAATATTCATCCCAAGAATTCAATTATTTTCAAAAGTAATAAAATTCTTCGGAGAAATTCAATTATTTTTAAAAATTTTAACGAATATCCCGTCAATAATTCAATTATCTGTACAAATAGCAAAGTTTTTCTGCAAAAATTCAATTATTTTCAAAAATTCAAATAAAAATCTAAATCTTTGCAAAAGTTCAATTATACTTTCAAAAGTTATTCGCAATTCAAGAATTTTCAATATTTACTATTTTCATAAAATTTACCAATAGATTTAATTATTGAAAAAACTTTTTGATACCATTCTACGAAAACATTCAATTATTTTCCTCGCAGAATTTCAAATATTTTTAATAGAATTTTAAATAAATTCCTTGAAAAATGCAATTTTTCTTAAAAATTTTATTCAAACTTAAGGAATGAATACAATTTTAAGAAACATTCAATTATTTCATAAAATAATAAAATTCGTTACAATAATTCATATAGTTTCATAAATAACATTTAATTCGTCACAGAAAATCAATTATTTTCAAAAAATTTTAATTAATTCTGCAAAAGAATTCAATTCCGAAGGAATTGTAATAAAATTCTTTTCCAAAATTCAATAATTATTTTGATAAATATCAAAATTTATCACAAGAATTCAATTCTTTTGAAAAGTAATAGAATACTTTATACTAAAATTTTTCTCATAAATTCAATTGTTTTCAAAAATTATTATTTAAATCCTTCTCAGAAATTCAATAATTTTTTAAAAATTTAATAAAATTCTTCAAACAGTTTTCAATTATTTTCAAAAATTGTTATAAAATTCTTTAATATAATAAATTTCATTAAAATTCTAATTGAATTCCTTAAAAGATATTAAATATTTTCAAAAGTTGTTAATACAAATTCTTCGTAAAAATTAAATTTCAAGAAACATTCAATTATTGAATAAATTATTTATTTTTGTATTTAAATAATTGAATTCTCGAAAAAGTTTCTACTAAAAATTGATTAAAAAATGAATTTCACTTAAAATTTAAATTTATAATTGAAAATTGTAGAAAATAATAATTGAATTGAAATGATGAAAATAATTTTGAAAAAATTACAGTAAGAATGTTCATTTATAATAATAAAATAATGATTTTGTCACTCGGTCATCTTGAATTATTATAAAACATAAAGAAATGGATCTGAAATTTTTGGACATGTTAATTCTGATGAAAAAAAAAATGCTTAAATATTTATTTTAAATAAAACTATTGATGTTTTCGAATAATTTTACGTTTGAAGAAATTTGTAAATAAATTTAATAGAACATTTTTTTTTAATATTTTATAATTTTTACAGTGAATCAGAATATTTTTTTTAGGGTCAGGGAAAAAGTCAAAGTTCTGTCTGGAAATCAGGAAAAAATAAAGTTAAATGTTTGTGGCAACCCTGTAATTTCTGAAAATGAGTTATCTTTAATTTTATTGAAAGTTGTCTCAAAAGAAAGATTAGATTCTCTAGTTCAAAGATTATTTTGGGCTTTTTAATTGATTCTTTGGATGGTAAATATAATACTAGAGAATCTAATTTTTCTTTTGAGACAACTTTCAATAAAATTGAAGATGATGTATTTTGAAAAATTAACTCTCAATGTTTTCAAATGCAAATTATACCAAAAAATAATTGAAAAAAATTTAATTTTTTATTCATCAAGAATATCGAAAATAATTTAACTTTAATAAAAAATGAATTTCAGTATCCCGGAAAACCGCCAAATGAACTGCAACACATTTTTCTAACTGTGATTCCTCAAAAGGAATGTTTAAGTGCGAATTTCCGAATAACGAACAATAATATTTGTACTTTAAACAAAAAAGGGGAAGGAGCTTGTCACGTAAGTATTTACAACTTTGACACTTCTATTTATTTATTTATGCATAATTTACAATTTAATTTTATATTAGTTAGATATTTATTCTATTTAATACAATATTTTAATTCGATTTACAGTTTTAGACAAAATTTTTTAAATTGAAATTTTATAGAACACCTAAAGACCTAAAAAAAAGTTGTAAAGTTCTTTAATACAGATTTAAGGGTTCATATCACTTTGTCATCTTCAAAAAAGCAAAATTTTTTTATTACGGATTTCGAAAGTAAAATATGTCAAAAATGTGGTGTAAAATTTTTAGAAAGATCCAAGCACTCAAAATATATTTTTTTCAGTGCTATTTGAGCGCTATGTATGTAAGCTCGGGCGATAAGCACAGTCCTACTGAACATAAATCAACTTGAATTTTGTGATTTTGTGACTTTCAGCGGGTCTAAAAGTATTGTTAAATTTTAAATAAAGAAATAATATTTTTTTAATGAAATAAGGTTTTTTATAAAATTAAAGAGTGTATTTATTGAACTAAACTGAAATAGATGCAGATCAATATAATCCATAGGAATCGTAAAAAAAAAATTCTAGAAAATACCTTCATTTTCAAAAGTGTATAAAGTGGTATGAACCCTGAATGAAATCTTAAAACTATTTAAATTAGTTAACTAATTTTCTAGGGAGACTCTGGTGGTCCTTTGGTTGCTGATGATGTTCAAATTGGTATTGTATCTTGGGGGAAACCTTGTGCCAAAGGTCAACCAGATGTTTTTACTCGTGTATACAGTTACATGAACTGGATAAATAAACATATTAAACCCGATGAATCTACCAACAGTGTCGATGACTAGTGAAATACATATCTATTTAAACCGCGAAAAGTGTATATATTTACTTCTTCTAAAAAACTTAATACTTCTAGTCTGCAATTTATTACAATAAAAATTACAATATAAATATTTGCTTTTATTTTAGTCTCATTATTTAAACAACAAGACACAAAATTCATCCAGGTAAATAATCTGATTGATTATTATCAGTGTTGATTAATGTATATGAGGCATTCTATTCCAATCCGTTCAGTTTCATTCGCTTTTAATGATTCACTTTTTAAGTGATTTTTATTGTACAAAAATGAAATTATTGGTAATATGTTATACACTAATTCGACAGAGAATTGAATAACAGGCATCACAGTACTGAGAAAAAAAGGTTAAAAAAGGTCATTTCTTTTCCTCAAAAAGGGGACAAAAATTGAGGTCTTGGATCCAATAACTCGCCCGACGCTCGAAGGCACGCGCTAATACCAGCCGGGTAGCAGTGAGTGGCCCAGAGGCGCTCACTGCTCACTGACTGGCAGTTGCGCGTTCCTCCGAGCGTCGGGCGAGTTATTGGATCCAAGGCCTCAATTTATTTGTTTATACAACTTGCATAAATAATTCAAAGTTTTTATCATATAGCTTCTATAAAATTTTTTAAAAATGATTCGATTTTAATCAGAGTTGTCACAAAAATTTAATTTAGTTTTTCCCTGATTTCCAGACAAAATTTTGACTTTTTTCTTGACCCTAAAAAATATTCTGATTCACTCAAAAAAATTATTAGATACTCAAAAAAATGTTCTATTACATTTATTTACGAATTTCTCTAATTGTAAAATTAATCGAAAACAACAATAACTTCTTTTTTTTAATATTTAATTATTATTATTTTTTCATAGGAATTAAAATTTTCAAAACATTCAAATTTAATAATCATTTTGAAATTTAACAATTTATAATAATTAAAGATGACTATAAAAAATATTTTTACTGTAACTTCTTCAAAATTATTTTCATCATTTCATTAAAATTATTATTTTCTAGAATTTTCAACTAAAATTCTTGTTTAAATCAATTATTTACAATAATTTGTTAAAAAATTATGAGAACTTTTAATATGTATTTGTTTACAATTCAATTTTACGAAATTTCATCGATTATTCGGAAATTCTTCAATTAAATATCTATATTAGAAAATAAAAACTTAAAATAACATAAAAACAATCCAATTAAACTTTTTCAAAAACATTAGTTTTAAAATTCAATTATTTCTAAAAATTCACGCTCTAATGCTTTTAATATTCAATTATTATGTAAAATTTTAACTGAAATTCACTTATACCTAAATCAATTTCTATTAGAAAATTCTACGAGAATTTCATTTTTTTAATAGAAATATAAATAATTTTTGTTGAATAATTGAATGTTTCTTAATATTGAATTCTCATAAAGAATTTATTAACAAATTATTAAATAATTAAATTCTTTCGATGAATTTTAATAAAATTTTTAAAAATAATTATTACATTTTTCGAGGTATTTGATTACAATTATACTAAAAATAATTGAAATTCTGCGATGTATTTTATTATTATTCATAAAAATAATTGAATTATTGCCAAGATATTTATAAAAAATTTGTAAATATAATAGAATTCCTGTAAAATTTGTATTATTTACGAAAATAATGAAACGTTTTGTGTAGAATTTTAATAAATTTTTTTTAATTAATGAATTCTTTTGAACAATTTAATTAAAATATTAGATATTGAATATAATTGAATTTAGGCAATATTTATATTATGTTGTGGTGTTAATAATCTAAATCAAAAAGAAAACGCCCTGAATTCTATAACATTGAGTCTAAATTTTATGATTACACTTTGAAAAAGATTTCAAAAAAAAGAAAAACTTGTTAATTTTTTATTAGAAAAAGGTGAAAAAGGGGACAAATCACTAAAAAAGGGGAAAAAGTGACAAATCGTCAAAAAAGAAGAAAAAGGTGATAAAATTGAAATAAGGGGACAAAAGGGGAAAAGCAGGGGACCAACTGTGATGCCTGGAATAAACTTTCCATTAAGTATACCTTTTTATTTTTAAAAATTTCTTTTAATTTAGTAGAGAAATTCCTGTTTGTAATCCTGTAAACCTCTTAAAATATAAAAACAGCCCAGATGAACCCGAATCGCAGTAGTTTTGGGAGCTGACGAGCTGAAAATTACGATCGAAAGAAATATTTATTTTTAATAAATGAAATAAAATTAATAAATAAGTAGGTATAGGGTCAGAATTTCTCAAACGGATCACTTTAAAAAAAATAATTTTGTTTTTTATCGAAAATAATTTTTTTTTACTCCTCGTAGAGTAAAAAATAGACCCTGAAAATTTTAGAACAAAAAAAAATTTTTTGTGAATGTTATTAACAATTTAGTTTTTTTGTAGTCTTAAATTAAAAAATTTTTTTCTCGTAAACTATTTGACCGATTTAAAAATTACGATATGGGTTTTCTTCGTCATGAAACAGAGTATTTAAAAATAATTTTGGATTTTAAAAAACTTCATTTTTAATAGTTTTTTATATTAATTGTTTATAAAATGTTAATAACAAATTGTGTTCTGCGCCTCAAAAAAAAAAAAAAAAAATTGCCTAGTATTGCCCACATTCCCCTGAAAACAAAACCGTTTTGAAAAAAAATGTACGTTAATTACGAAAAAAGTTATTAAAAAATAACTGTGGCGGTGCACAGCGATTCATGACTCGCAAACATGGCTCTCATGGCACCTGTGAGGCATTATTCCTGAACTGCCCCAAAAATAAAAAAAAGTTCTTGGATTTCCTTTATACTTTGGAAATATGTTACCCTAGTAGGTACAAGTTACTACACCAATTTACAGGTCCAACCCCCCACCCCAATCAAAAGGGTGGGGGGTTGAAATTTCAGCTTAAACTCGAACATGCATTCTTTAAACATTTGTAGTTTCTACTTAAATTATTCAATTAAAAAAAGTAAGTAGTGTTTTAGAAAGGTTTTTTTGTGTACTTTTAAAATATTTTATTTATATAATAAAAAAAAAAATTTTTTTGCAAAAATTTTTTTAAATAAATAGTTTTTTGCAATTTTGCACTCCAGCGCGATGAACAGTGGGATTTTTTTTCAACTTACTATTGAAAATTGTCTAGAAACTACAAATTTTATCGGATGTTCATGTTCTTGATTTAAAATTACTAAGAAATCCATCAAAGTCGATTTTTGAATTTTTAATTGTTTATTTTTTTCTTGTTACTCAAAAATTTGACAAATTACAATATTTTTAGAAAAAATCATGTTAATTTTTTTATTTTTCCATTACACATGATCGAAATCAATTTAAATTAGTCGAGTATGACCACCGGACAATTAATAAAGCATAATACAATTTATTTAAATTGTTGCAAACAATGTTAATTAACAAATAGATTACTTCGGACCTTCTTCATAAAAAAAATTGGTTTTTTTGCAGACAAGTTTAAATTTATGTCTAATTTAGTAAAAAACTAATTTACAGTTAAAAATTATCATTAATATTAACAATTATATAAACAATAATCAACTTCCTTTTGTATTTGTAAACATTTTCGTCATTTTTTAAACTTTAAATATTTATATCATATGTACATTCTTTCAAAAACTTAAAAAATTTATTTGCTTAAACAATTACATTTGTTATAAACAAATTTTTCATTTTTAAACAAATAAGTAGCTTTTTTCATCAAACAAAATTTTTTCCTTTTTTTATATTTACTATCATAAAAAAGAACTCCTTAATGAAATGGGAATACTATAAATTATTCATTTAATTCTAACGAACATTATAAGTTAACAAATATATATATTTTTAATGAAGTAAACCATTATTCAGTTAAAACAGTTTACATCTAAATGCATATAAATAAATATATTTTTTCTGTGAAAAAAGAACAAAGTTAAATATTTGTTAACTTATAATGTTCGTTAGAATTAAATGAATAATTTATAGTATTCCCATTTCATTAAGGAGTTCTTTTTTATGATAGTAAATATAAAAAAAGGAAAAAATTTTGTTTGATGAAAAAAGCTACTTATTTGTTTAAAAATGAAAAATTTGTTTATAACAAATGTAATTGTTTAAGCAAATAAATTTTTTAAGTTTTTGAAAGAATGTACATATGATATAAATATTTAAAGTTTAAAAAATGACGAAAATGTTTACAAATACAAAAGGAAGTTGATTATTGTTTATATAATTGTTAATATTAATGATAATTTTTAACTGTAAATTAGTTTTTTACTAAATTAGACATAAATTTAAACTTGTCTGCAAAAAAACCAATTTTTTTTATGAAGAAGGTCCGAAGTAATCTATTTGTTAATTAACATTGTTTGCAACAATTTAAATAAATTGTATTATGCTTTATTAATTGTCCGGTGGTCATACTCGACTAATTTAAATTGATTTCGATCATGTGTAATGGAAAAATAAAAAAATTAACATGATTTTTTCTAAAAATATTGTAATTTGTCAAATTTTTGAGTAACAAGAAAAAAATAAACAATTAAAAATTCAAAAATCGACTTTGATGGATTTCTTAGTAATTTTAAATCAAGAACATGAACATCCGATAAAATTTGTAGTTTCTAGACAATTTTCAATAGTAAGTTGAAAAAAAATCCCACTGTTCATCGCGCTGGAGTGCAAAATTGCAAAAAACTATTTATTTAAAAAAATTTTTGCAAAAAAATTTTTTTTTTTATTATATAAATAAAATATTTTAAAAGTACACAAAAAAACCTTTCTAAAACACTACTTACTTTTTTTAATTGAATAATTTAAGTAGAAACTACAAATGTTTAAAGAATGCATGTTCGAGTTTAAGCTGAAATTTCAACCCCCCACCCTTTTGATTGGGGTGGGGGGTTGGACCTGTAAATTGGTGTAGTAACTTGTACCTACTAGGGTAACATATTTCCAAAGTATAAAGGAAATCCAAGAACTTTTTTTTATTTTTGGGGCAGTTCAGGAATAATGCCTCACAGGTGCCATGAGAGCCATGTTTGCGAGTCATGAATCGCTGTGCACCGCCACAGTTATTTTTTAATAACTTTTTTCGTAATTAACGTACATTTTTTT